CCTTTTCATAAATCATCTTACCCTAAATTTTCCATTTGATGACGGAATAAAACTCTCAGTAACTACTTATTGGGATGAAAACTACCCACGGAGGTGGTTAACCATGTAGTGGACATCTCCCCTACAACTGCATAGCCGCATTCCAATGCACAGTATCCTAGCAGCCAGCCTGCGCATCTTCCTAGCAACCAGCCCAGGCAGCCCAGGGGGGGCGTCACCAGATACCTCCAGTATCCTAGCAACCAGCCACCAGCTGCTACGTATCCTATAGCGGGTCCGAAAACGGCGGCTTCCCCGCGGTTTACTTCGGCGCCTGTGTATATAAGCTCATCTCTCCGGTAAGGTTTCATTCTGCTCTCGGTTCCTGAACCGCGCTTACCTCCTCCGGCAAGCTCCTCTTTGTCCGCTCTCCATTCAACCTGGAGGCCAGCAACAGGCAATATCTTCTATAACAGAAGCTCCTGCATCTACCTCCCTTCAACACGCGCTTCTCACCGAACGTGTCTACTGAGCAGGCTCCTCACCACACGGCATCTCCAGCACCAGACTGTCTACCATAACTTATATTATATAAAAGAAAACCACCACCTTAGGTTTCCATCCATCCTGAGTGCTGGGCAACATAATATCCACGAAACCTACAACCAACTCTCTAACATCACATGTAACTTATGAAAATAAAAATACCAACAATTTACTCACCACAGTCGAGAGTAGCGACATAAACTTGCGCTTAAATGACTTAATATAAAAATACTAAAAATTTAATCAGCACATAGCAGCCAATCACGACACGCCCTTCTCTCACGGCTCACTCAGGAAAATGGCAGTCTGGTGACGTCACAATGGTGTGTTATACCAAGGAAGGAATATATAGAGAAACTTGTACTACATCCTATTAACGTTCAGCCTTGATTGGTGCGCCATCTCTCAATTTAACTTTACCATAATTGTTTAAGGTCATCAAAGAAAACGTGTTGTTGTCTAGAGAACGAACTTGTCTTTAGCTTAGACTCCTGTCATAAGCCATATACATTTTTATTCCTAGCAGCCATTGCATAAATATACATGATTGTCTGCTTATACATTTACATATTTATTTATTCATGAATAATTGTGTTCCTTAAATAAAAGAAAAGGCAATACTTAGGTGGTTAATAAATATAAGTTAAGAAAACATCAAAAGCAAGCGGGAAGGTAGACCTAATCTTCATGATATCCACAAAAAGTAGGAAGCAGTAATAAAAAGACTAAGTTTCAGCTTTGTCTTGAAAATATGTATAATTCAGGGTGGATAAGGCCGAAATACAGTACGTGTTTGAATGTTCTGATATGAACACACATTATAATTTATTTAAATATAAGACAGCATACAGCTTGCTAGCACTTCCTACTACGATTAGGGAGATAAACTATAAACTTTGTGATAGTTGACAGCCGTAATCAAGTTGGGTGGAAAAGTTAAATGAAACCAGAGAAAAAAGGGAGATATACATATTATATTTGGTTTGTGTTGTAAATAAAGGGGGATACTGTATATCCATCCCATTTAGATTGTTGCGAAAGAAACATATGCAATACAGCCCCAAGCAATAATACATTAGCACCCCTGGAAGCTCCACCACCTCTGTTAGGGCCCCTGGGGGGGCCCCAGCCCCAGAGAAGGCTTTAGGGGTGCCACAGCCATTGGAAGGGCTTCTGGGAGGCTCCCTGAGGGTGCCTCCATCTCTGGAAGGGTTTTTGGGAGGAATCACAGCCTCTGGGAGAGTCTCTGGGGCGTCGCAGCCCAGGAGAAGACCCTTAAGGATGCCAAAGTCGTTGGGAGGGCCTCTGGAAGGCCCCCTGAAGGGGGGTGGTGGGCGCCGTCTATGTGAGGGTTTTGGAGGGAATTGCTGCTCCTGGGAGGGTCGCTGGGGGTGTTGCCATCCCTGGGGGTGCCGCAGAGTCTGGGAGAGCCGCTGGGAACTCCACCAGCTCTGGAAGGGCCGGTGGGGGCTCCCTGCCCCTGAGAAGGTCCCTGGGAGGCCGCTGCTGATGGGAGGGCCCCAGGGGGCTCTGTTCTAATTGGGTGGCACCCTGGGGGGCGCCGCCGTTTCTGGGGGGGGGCGGTTTGGGGGCGTCGACGCCTAAGAGGGGTCGAGAGCGTCACCACACCTAGGAAAGTTGCTGAGGAAGCCACCGCCCCTGAGAAGGCCTCTGGGATGGTCCCTGGGGATGTCGCCGCCCCTGTTAGGGACCCTGATGACGCCGCCGTCCCTGGGAGGATCCATGGGGGCGCTGCTACCCCTGGAAGGGTTCCTGGGGTCACCACCGCCCCTGGTAGGGTCCCTGAGCGCGCCGGCGCCCCTTGGAGGGTCTCTGTGGGCGCTGCCGTCCCTGGGAGAGTTCCTGGGGGTGCCGCCACCTCTTGGAGGGTACTTGGGAGGTTCCCTGGGGGAGCTGCTGTCCGTGGAAAGGACGTTTGGGGGCGACGTCGCTCCTTGGAGGATTCTTGGGGGCGCCGCTGCCCTGTAGGAGGGTCCCTAGGGGCATCACCACCCCTGGAAGGACCCCTGGCGCACTGTCCCTGGGAGTGTCCCTGGGGGCGCCACCGCCTCTGAGTGAGCCTTGGTGCTGCTACCACCCCTGGGGAGGACCCTTGGGCGCAGCCACTCCTGGGAATTCCCCTGGGGAACGTCATACCACCAGGTGGGGGGTCGCGCCCAAGGCTGCAGCCGCCCACTGAGTGTGCCCCTGGTGCTGCTACCACCCCTGGGAGGTCACTGGAGGCGGCGTCTGTGGGAAGGGTTTTGGTGGCGTCGACGCCCATTGAAGGGTCCCTGGGATGGTCCCTGGGGACGTCACCGCCACTGAGAGGGTTCCTGGGGGTACCTCCGTCCCTGAAAGGGGTCCCCTGTCCGGAGCTGCTGCCCCTCGAAGGGTCCTTTGGGCCGCTGCCACCTGGGGAGGGTCCATGTGCACGCCGCAGCCCTGGGAGGGTCTCTGGGGCGCTGTCGTCCCCTAGGAGGGTCCCTGGGGGGCCCAGCCGCCCCTGAAAAGATTCGCTTGGGCCACCTTCCCTTGGAGAACCCCTTAAGGCGTCGTCGCCACTGAGAGGAAACCCTTAGGGGTGCCGCTTTGCTGCTGGAGGGTTCTGGGGCACCACCGCCCTGGATGTGAGTGCCTCGCCCTGGAAAGGGAGTAGCTAGAGGGGCAACCATTCCTGGGAGGCCCTGGGAGCACTCAGATTGTGGGACCCCTAGGTGCATTGGTTTTTGCCCTATTTACAACTCCTGTGATATGCACCCCCTTAAATAAATGCACCTACCATCCACATTTCAGTATCATCCCATTCTGAAGAAGGTAACGGAGAATAATATCCAACAGGAAAACAGAAGTTGGGATATTGTGTTGACTGACTGGCTGTAATTTGGTGGGTTAAAATAATAGATCATCAATCATATTTCACTAAGGGACTGCTGGAAGTATGTAATATATATGACACAATGAACAAGCATGCCATAGGGCCCTGGGAACCCTTGGTAGGGTCCCTATGGGGGCACTGCCCCTGGGAGGGTTCTTGAGGGTGCCACCATCCCTGGGAGGGTCCTTGGGGGCGCCCCAGACTCTGGGAGTGGCCCTGGGAGGGTCCCTGCAGGTGCCACTATCCCTGGGTGCGCCACTGCCCCTGTAAAGGTTCCTGTGGGCGTCGCCATCCTTGGGAAGGTCCCTGGGGGCGCTGGTGCCCCATGGAAGGCATCCTGGGATGATCCCGGGGGCGCCACTGCCCCTGGGAGGGTCACTGGAATTGTCCCTGGGAGCGTCGCCGCCCATGGGAGAGTCCCTGAAGGTTTTACTTTCCTATGAGAGTCCCAGGAAGCGCCTCCGCCCTTGGAAGGGTACCTGAAGGCGCCGACATCCCTGGGATGGTCCCTGGTGCCACCGCTGCCCCTGGGAGAGTCCCTGGGGATGCTGCCGCCCATGGCAGGGTACCTGGGATGATCTCTGGGTGCGCCACCAACCCTAGGTGGGTCTCTGGGTCCATCGCCGCACCTGAGAAGGCCCTGGAAGGGTCTCTGGGGGCTTCATCGCCCCTGAGAAGGTCCCTGGGGTCCCTGCCGCCCCTGAAAGGATCCCTAGACGTGCTAACACTCCTGGGAGGACCCTGGCGTCTCCCTCGCCCCTGAGAGAGCCCCTGGGGGCGCCACCGCCTCTGGGAGGATCCCTGAGAAGGCCTCTGGGGGCGTCGCTGTCCCAGCGAGTGTCCCTGGGGATGTCACCGCCTCTGAAAGGGCTCGTGGGGGTGCCTTCGTCCCTGTGAGGGTCCCTTGCGGCACTGCCATCCGTGTAAAGGCCCTTTGGGGCACTGCCACCCCTGGGAGGGTCCCCGGGGGCACCAATGTCCCTAGGATGGTCCCTGGAGGCGCCGCTGTGTTTGGAAGGACCCCTAGGTGCTCCACGGCCCCTGAGAAGGCCTCTGTGGGAGAGCCCCTGAGGGTGCTAATGCCCTTGGATGGCCCGCTAGGGGTGCTGCCATCTCTGGGAGGGTTTTTGGTGGCATTGACGCCCATTGGAGAGCCCTTGGGGGCACCGCCGCCCCTGGGAGTGTCCTTGGGATGGTCCCTGGGGATCCACCGCCTCTGTGAGGATCCCTGGAGACGCTGCCATCCCTGGGAGTGTCCCTGGAGGTGCTGCTGCCTCTGGAAGGTTCCTTAGGGTCGTTTAGGTCGCCGCTGGGAGGGTCCCTGGGCACGCTGCCTCTCTTGGGAGGGTCCCTGGGGGCGCCGCCATCCCTGGGAGGGTCCTTGGGAGCACCGCTGTTCCTGGTAGGGTCCCTAGGGGCACTGTTGCCCTTCAAGGGTCCAATGGGGGCGCCGCCATCTCTGGGAGGGTTTTAGGGGGCGTCAACACCCATTACACCCATTGGAGGGTCCCTGGGGGCACCACCACCCCTGGAAAGGTCCCTTGGGGCGCCAACACCCCTGTGAGGATCCCTGGGGGCACCACCATCCCTGGGAGGGTCCCTGGCCGTGTCATAGCCATTGGGAAGGTCCCTGGGGGTTCTGCTGTCCCTGGGAGGGTCCTTGGGAGTGCCACCATCTATGGGAGGGTCCCTAGAGGTTTTGTCACCCCTGGGAGGGTGTCTGGGGGCCCAGTCACCCCTGAAAGGATCCCTTGGGGTACCACCACCCCTGGGAGGACCCATGGGGGTGCTGTCTCCCCTGAGAGAGCCCCTGGGGGCACCGCTGCCCTTGGGAGGGTCCATGGAGGCGGCATAAATGAAAAGCATTTTAACTTTTTTTTTTTTTAATTTGAGTGTTAATTGCATTAATTACAGCACATTGTAAGTAATATACAAGGCAGTACGTTTACATGGCTATTATAGAACACATGAAAAGTCATGATTAGTAAACGTCACCTGCTGTCAAGAAAACTGAGGCAAAATGCCAAGAATACATACATACAGTACAGTACATACATACATACTACATGAAGCTCAATACTGCAATACATTCTCCAGTACTGTATTAAGCTTTTAATGTTAAATGTGTCAAATAGTTTCATAAAATTTTATCTTATGTACAAAAACAAAAGAAAAACTTCTTATTACTCTTTAAGATATAATAAGCATGAGATAAATTCATTCATCTTCATTAAACAGATAAATCTCAAGTATCAAAACTTGTGAGGGTAACCAGTCAATGCCTTCAATACAAAATAAATAATACTTTTGTATATAACATGAGAATTAAATATATTTTATATGTGAATTAAAGTGTTTTATATTGGAATAATTAAATTGATGATAATGATATGTACATGATGAGTCAAGACATGTTGTAGCAAGGTTATGGTTACAGTTTATGAGGCCTTAGTTAACACACTTACTACAACATCACAAGGCTAAAAATGAAAGTCTCCATTTATACTATGCAGTGGTGGATCCCTGGTTTCAATTTGTCCGCAAAATGGAGGTGTCACTCCTAATGACAATATATTTGTTTAATAGTTATTTTAAATACTGCAAATTCCTGATAAACACATTTATTGAATAGTACAGAAGGCGAAATATAGTTTGAAAATACCTATTTCAGATACAGTACTGTGTTCTGTGCTTCGTCTCTGCTCTGTGATGAAAGTTACGTAACCACCCTTAAAATATTCCGGATCCACCCTTGGCAGGTCTAGATGGAATTGAAAAGTTGTTCCACAGTGGCACTGCTACAGCATGCCAACTCATCTAAGCTCAAAGGCCTTTAAGGTTCCTGAGCATTGTGAGGATTTACTTGAGCTGTCTTCAACAAGTGAGGGAGATATGAGAAAGAATATGTTCCTAAGGTGAAGCAAGTACAGTATAGTTATTGACTTCAACATAGGAAGTAATGTGAACAACCCTTCTTGAATACCAACTCCTGCTCACTTGTGAAATGTCAGTAGTGTTATATTGTAAGTACAGTATAATCTTTCTGAATTGTTGAAATAAAAAAGAAATGATACATAAGAATAACTATTGAAAGTAGTGTTAACCATTACAGTGACTACAATCTTTTGAGAGGGATTAAAGTGGGGATTTAAGACAAACACTTAAATCACTTTGGCAAGTACAGTCATCCCTTATTTATCTGGACTGCCAAATGTTTCCAATTTAGAATATGTAGTTGGTATAGGATGTATGGAGCTATAACATGAACCTCACATTCAGATCATCTACTTATAGTACTATATATGCTATGAATCTAACCCCATAGGGTTTTAAAATTATCAGTACAGTGCAGTACTGTACAGTATTATAAACATATATTTTACTACATTCCCGAACAACACAACTTTATGATTATACAGTAGTAGTTAATAAGGAAACAGTACCTGTATTACTAATTTTATAATTGCATCATAATAAAAATAATTACCTGAAATTACAGATACAGTACCTGTAATAGGTATGCATACCTATCATATACAATTTTTTCAATTTTCATTATCCAGAAGCATGTTATGGCCAGACAAATGAGGGATGACGGTGTTAAATTTTAAAATATCTGTAGTAGTATAGTACAATATGTATAAAGCTTTGTGAATATATAGAGATTCATTTAATGTGGTAATTCTAAGATATTAATGTGTTTTAATGCAAAAAAGTTGTTATATTTCATTTGGATTTTTCCAATTACTTCATTTGTACAGTGATATTATTAGTTTACACATACAAAACAGTATTCACATATATATATATATATATATATATATATATATATATATATATATATATATATATATATATATATATATATATATATATATATATATATATATATATATATATATATATATATATATATACAGTATATATATATATACATATACAGTACAGTATACCAGTATATATATGAAACAGGCCTTCTCATGTAAAGTTAAATAGGTCTATGTATAATAACTTCATCACTTTAAGCCATCCATTCAAGTGCTTAATTAAATATGGGAAGGAAATTGGAATGTTATTTATAAAATAGTTGTACAGTTTAGAAATGACCAAGTATTGGCCCAGCATAGGCATTCAAAAATATTATGTTTCAAAAACTCATCATATGATACTGAGGTGCACAGTACTGTACTCTACTATTAATTATCATAAACTAAATGTACAGGTTCTTGTACACACACTATTCCTCACCTTCTAATGTAAATTTGCAAAAAATTACCAGGGTAATTAAGATTATTTTTCAGTTGTTCAAATTTAGTAGTCTTACACAGGTAGTCCCCATTTATCACATGGGGCCCCACTCCTAAAAACCTTTGCCATGTGTGAAATTGTAGTAATTTGTGCCTAATTAATTTTTCCATGAGAAACAATGTATAGTACTGTACAGTATTAAGGGGAGGATGCATTCCTAGCTGGCAGTTTTGTGGGTACTTAAACTGATCTTTTTTTCAGAAACTTAGAGATTGGAAAAAAATAAATACAGGTACTGTACAAATATTTATGAAATACTACAACTGAGAAACATGTGCATGCTCTCACACTCATAGCCTTTCATCAAGAGTAGTTTCTTCACCACACTCATGTTATCATTTAATAATGTCTAATTTCACCACTAAAATAAAACCATTTGATTGATTCTGGATATCTGTACAAGGTATGCTTGGTGAAGCACTGCACTGGTAAGTCTTTTTGCATTCATTATACATGATTTAGGGCAATTCCGAAAGAACTGATTGCATATACAGTATACATAAACAGCTCTTTCTAGCATGCGTGTCTGTGCAACCGGAAGGTTCTTGTTGAATTGTGCAATTGGTTTAATTTTTGTTCTTATGAAAGCACTTCTTAAAAAACTAAATTGTGATAATAAAATTATTTAGTAAAAAAATTAACCTGTGATACATGAGTTTCCAATAAATGATGACTACCAGTACAGTACACATATAAACATCTGATAAAAGCCCTGAGTTGCCCTCCCCTCCCTCCACCCCACATAAAAGGAAGTGACAAATGGTTGGAGAATACTTAAGCTGTCCTCCTACCTTCCACACACCCACCCCCAAACCCTTAATTAAAATGAAGTACCAAATAATAGATTTTTCCCCTTAAGATTTCTGATCTTTGGCTACATTCACCTGCTGCACACTGTGTAGTCTGACTCATAGATTTAAGTCAGACATGTCCTTAAAAGGTAATTGTATTTAATTCCTGTATCTTTAATTTTATCCCCTGACATTCACACCATTCTTTGTTTCCTACTTCAGCTATGTATCTACACTAACTCAGAACAGCTCATTCTACTCACAAATTTGAAGTTCTTTGTCTAATCATTTTGCGTTTCATTCACTTGACAGCCGCATCAACCTATAATACTCCACCAGTTGTTAACAATGGATTTAGCTTCACTGTATGTGCTCATGGTAGATACCACCAGAACACTGTGTATTGTACTGTGGGGAAACTCTTTGTGGTGTTTGATTTATAGCCATTAATTATACACTCAGTGTTTTTTTATGTTACTCTTATTATAAAGGTTTCTCATACGTATTTACAATCGTCTTCAGTTTATATACCTGTACAGTATATATATATATATATATATATATATATATATATATATATATATATATATATATATATATATATATATATATATATATATATATATATATATATATATATATATATATATATACACACACACACACACACACAAGTATACCTGTATAAACATCGTTATTCTATGGCAACAGGGATTTTCGAATTTTGATAGGATCCAAGCACAATAAGAAAAAGTTTGGTAAAGATCTATTATATAGTTTACATTTAAAATAAACTTAATACCATTACCATCCATTTACAACCTGTGGAACAAAAATTTGAGTACAGTACAATACTGTTACAATATTTACAGCTCAGCTCCAACAACTCCTACAAAAGATATATGTAAAGTGATGCCAAGCTTAAAATTATGCAGTTGTAAATAACTACATGCTGACATGATACAGGAGCCAAGATATTTAAAGGGTTCATTGATTGATAAAATCTTGGAAGGAAAAGTCTGTAAGAGCTTAACCAGCAACTGAATGGACTAACATAGGAGACAGTTGTAATGAGGAAGCCTTAGCACAGTTCCACAATATTCACCTAATGCCTTTCTATTAAATCAGGTTGGCATACTAATAACAACTTGCAGGTAATAATGTTATTCATATCATTCATATCACAAAAGGAATGCAAATGTTGTATCTCCTTCCTCTCTAAGTAATAAACACTTAGATTAGTTCTGCTACAAGCACTGGTTCTCCTTGGGCATTGAATGCAAGATTACGGGAAATTGGATGAAGGATGGATGGTTCATCTGGCAGTGGGCGGTTGGCAAGATCAGGTGGTTGGAAGGTTGATCCCGTAAATGAAGTCCTCAATTCATGGTAATCACCGTTCTTGATGGAAATTGAAATTAATTATTATAAAGAATAGCTTTTGCAAACTTTTACATACAGATAAACCTCTAGTTCCAATGGGATTAGATTCCTGACAACCCAATCGCAGGTCGATATATTATATGGGCTAGTCAGACACCCATAGAAAAAAAAATCCTAGAATACTACACTACAACAAAATTAAACAACACCCACCACATCATTAAAAACAAGTCTAGTCATCATCATATGTCCTCTTCATGGCTAAGGAGACTCTTAAGGTGGAGAGGAGACATCAACCTGAGTCCCACACAGACTTTGGGGAGTCTGATGAGTGGGGGCTGGAGGTGTAGCTTTTGTCTTGGCCTTGAAGATAGTGAGCAAAATGCTTGCCAGACATTTTTAAAGTTACACTTTTCACTTCAGTCACAAAAACGTGATAATGGTAAGGGATTAGTGGGTCTCATGTGACTGACCTGACCTGATGCAATGTCAGGTCACCCATCGTCAGGGTGGGGATTAGAACGAAAGCACTTCTTAGTCAGATTGAAAGCACTTCACAGTCAAAGCAAAAGCACTTCACAGTCACTAAAATAGAGTACAGTTGTACCCAGCTTAACGCAGTCAATTGAACCCACAGGGTACGGCGTTAAGTGAAAACCGCGTTAAGTGAACAACAGAACATATGGGATTAATTCCAATAGAGACTGGCCTGATCCCCAAACTCCACTTTTTGATGACACACAACTATGTTCTAGTATAAATAACATCTTAATTTTATGATGGTACATGCACACAATTAATACTTAAGAGAAATAGAGAAATACAGTCGCAAAGTTAATGTCCATTCAAATAATGGACTCGACTCCCGCCCCCTCTTCTCACACTACACTGCTGGCTCTTCCCTCTCTGAGAAATTTTGGGGGGAAACCACTAGATTTTAATAAATAATACCTCAAACTAAAGTTAGGATAATGTAATTGACATTGCTGGATTCCTTGTAAGACCAGGAAAATTTAGAATATAAATGTCATATATTTTGCACAAAAGATAACATATTTACTCAGAGTAAACATTATATCTAAAATTTGTATGTCTAATGCGAAATCTATGATGTTTATATTCAAAATGATCATCAAATTGTAAGAATTCCAGCAATGTAAATTATATTCTGGCCGGGTAATTTGTATGAATTTTATGAGCTAAAACAAATATCTTCAGTTAATAAAAAAAAAAAATATTCTTCACACCGTGCCAGATGGTCGGTCGGTCCCTTCCTCCCCCCCACCCCCCACCAACCCTCCCTACCAGATGTGTGGGAAAACCAGAATATTTACCTTTTTTGTAATAAATAATACCTCAAACTAAATTTAAGATAATATAATTGACATTGCTGGATTCCTTGTAAGACCAGGAATATTTAGAATATAAATGTCATATATTTTGCACAAAAGATAACATATTTACTCAGAGTAAACATTATATCTAAAATTTGTATGTCTAATGCAAAATCTATGATGTTTATATTCAAAATGATCATCATATTGTAAGAATTCGAGCAATGTAAATTATATTCTGGCCGGGTAATTTGTATGAATTTCATGAGCTAAATAAAAAAAAAAATATTATACTTCACCGCGTATATGAGTAGATGAACCACGTTAAGTGAAAGTTCGGTTCTGGCGAGGCACCGCGTATATGAGAAATCGCGTTAAGTGAAACCGCGTTAAGCGGGGTACAACTGTATAATGTGAGCTTTAGTGATGTCCTCTCACTGTAAGGTAAAAAAGAAAACACCAATGATGACCGGTAAACCTTGAGATCCATTTCTTACAAACATGTAACCAAGAAGAAACAATGGCTGGATTGTAGGTCACCAGATAGCCATGAGGCAGTGTTCAAGAAGATGACGTCTCAGCTGACAAATGAAGTGAGTGATGCGTTCCATATGCTGACTTAGCGAGTTGACGAAGATCATTAATCCGAGTTTGTTTACATAACAAATAGGGGAATGGTCTTAATATATCAGCATTGTAAACACAAATTATTACAGATTGGCAGATCATGAATAGAGGTTTACCTGTATGTGTTTTATACATGTGTGTGTTTTATAAATTTTTGTGACTTTATGATGCTCTTCATATAGTGAACCAAATCATCAGCTTATCATGATTTTTGGAGTTGGGACTGAAGAACCCCTAACATTAGTGTAGTTGGGAATAATCTTATGATCACTTTACTCTTGAGTCACAGTCCTTTATTACTTGAGACATCAAACTACGGAATTAATCAGAAAAACATTTATCAGAAACACTCATGTATGTTTCTTTGGTAAGTGAATAAGATCTTTAATTAGAATGCAAACTACTGCAATAAGAATTTTATATAAAATAGATAGAATGTCTAAAATTTATCTAAAATACACTACTTTATGCCATTTTGGGCAGCACTGATAAAAGACCATAATAATACACACAGTACACACCTATCAAACAGGGAAGTACTACTGCCTGGGAAGATATTGGAAACATAATGAATTGTCTAATGGTAGACCCTGCTGCCATATGGCATCACAAAAATTGTGACCAAGTCTCTGTTAGCTGACCTGACTGACTTTCTGCTTTATTTTCATACTGTACAAACTGAGCTCACTCGACCAATAACCTCTGCTGCTATACCTATAATACAATACTGTACATTTACCTGGGTAAGTGGTGATCTTGGTGTTTCAATACCAGGGACTCGTGGACCCTGAGCTGAGGCTGGGCGGTGGAGGTGGTCTAGAGTAGCATAATCATTACTTTCTCCAGGGTCCTCCCCCAGTTTTAATGTTCCTTGTTGCAAACCACGAAGTTGTAGTGAGCGCAGTGTTCCTCCATGGGACTTCTGGATAGTGGCATACGTGTTGCTCTGGCCATCCAGCTGGTAATATTAACCAGTGTTATGAGAAACAAAAATTTTTGAATTGCTATATAAATCAGGGCTGTACTTTTTTAACATTGTTGTTTTGTCTTCTCAATGCTTTCCTACTATCATGCTGCAATGCTGGTATCAAGAACAACACACTATTCCCTTAATGATGGTTATTCATTCTTAATCTGTCTTGTTGAAAATGATGTTTACTTTTCACAACAAGGCTCCAGTTACTTCATACTACATATCATAATCCAGACTTGAATACACTTTGATGAACATTATAAGTCATTTGGGAGAAGTCTAGATTATATAAGTTAATCAGTACAATATAAAAAATCAGTAGTGGAAATGTCTGGAAACTTCAGATACAGTACTCAGAATACTTTGCAAAGATAACCTTGCCCTCCAAAAGTAAGATAAAAGCATTAATAGTTTATATATGTATTTACCTCCCAAACTACCTGCCACAGTCTGCTATCAACACTCAGTTTGAGAAGTCATCATAGCATAGAAATTTGTTTTACAGTATGCACTCTTTTTTAATGTACAGGGAGTCCCCGGGTTACGAACGAGTTCTGTTCCTGAGGACGTTCTTAAGTCGGAAATGTATACAAGTTGGAACACATATCCTATGTGCACTATATCATAGCCTAAGTCCTTTTATAAATCTAGAATCACTTAACTTAAGAGAAGAGAAGAAATTGAATGACAAAATACAGGAAAGTAAAAATTAAGTTTAACACTTACATTGAAACCTTGGTGCTAGCTGATCTTCCACCCATATCACTAACAATCTTTCCCTGTCAATTCACTTCTTTGTTTTGTTATCACAGTTGAGTGCATTGGTGCACATCCTTTAACATGTTCAAGAATTTTGTGTTTGTCTTTCAAAATGCATTATTGGGTGTCATAATATTAATCTTTAAGTTACCATTGTACTCAATATCATACCTGTGAGAGGTCAATACTTGATCTTCGACGTTCTGGACTCCATTCTGCATCTACAGTGACACTTGGCCCCTGTACCGGGTTGGGAGGAACATTTACTTGTGTTGTGTCAAATTCGCTCATCACTTGCATTGTCAGCTCTTGTTCCTCATACATCTTGAGTTTCCTGAAAAATGTCAAAGAAATGAAATATTTGAGGAAATAATTTATACATATAAGTCACAGTAGTTGCTTATCTTTTTTAATTATTATGTAAATTGACATCCCGCACAAGGTACAACTTCATCCAGTACCCGAATTTGCGTTACGTTGTCATGGTGTGGGGCACAAACGAACAACTTTCAAATACCTGGGATGGGTATAAAGTTCCCATCTTGCAACCTCAGATGAGGAGGATGAAAATGGATTGTCACTAAACACGCAAATTCCACAAGTGATGGGCTGTATGTGCATATATTTAGTTTTAATTTATTAGGTAAATATTTTTTATTTCCATGGTCAAATTATTATTTTCCAGGACTGGAATTCTTAAAATTCCATGACTTTCCAGACATGTACAAACTCTGATACAGTACCACCTCTAATCACTTAATCACATACAGCACCAGGGTATGTCTTTAAAGAATTTCAACCCATATATTTTCCTTCATCTACCAATAAAATAATTAAAAAAATTTATTTCTAGTTGGAAGATTGCAAACACTTGATAATTGAGAATCATGTGAATATATTTGCTTTGTAACAATACAGTAAATAAAGTATATACTTAATCTTAATATATAAATATAGTAGTACCCCGATTTACGCGGTCAATTGAACCCACAGGGTACCGCGGAAAGTGAAATCCGCGTAAATGGAACAACAGAACATATGGGATTAATTACAATAGAGACTGGCCCGACCCCCAAACTCCACTTTTTCCGACACAATACCTATGTTGTAGTAAAAATAACATCTAAATTTTATGATGGTATGCTCACACAATTAATATTTAAGAGAAATACAGTTGCCAGGTTAATGTCCATTCAATTAATAGACTCAAATCCCCCCCCCCCTCTTCCCAGCTCACTGGCCCCTACCTCTCTGAGAAATGATTGGGTGAAACACTAAATTTTAACGTTTAGTAATAAATAATACCTCAGACTAAAGTTAGGATAATATAATTGACATTTCTGGATTCCTTGCAGGTCAGGGATTATTTTGAATGTAAACTTCATATATTTTGCACAAAAGATAAAATACTTGCTTTGTGTAAACCAAATTATTACATTAGATCTAAAATTTGTATGTCTAATGCAAAATCCATGATGTTTATATTCAAAATGATCATCATATTGTAAGAATTCCAGCAATGTAAATTATATTCTGGTCCAGTGATTTGTATGAATTTTATGAGCTAAAACAAATATCTTCAGTTAATAAAAAAAAAATATTCTTCACGACACTATCTGTCAATCAAAGTACCCCAACTTGCCTCCCCCCTCTTCCAACCGTGCCAGATGGTCGGTCGGTCCCAACCCTCCCCCCCCACCCCCCACCTTCCCTCCCTACCAGAGAAATGTTGGCTGAAAAAACTAATTTTAACTTTTAGTAACAAATAATACCTCAGACTAAAGTTAGGATAATATAATTGACATTGCTGGATTCCTTGTAAGACCAGGAACATTTTGAATATAAATGTCATATATTTTGCACAAAAGATAACATATTTACTCAGAGTAAACATTAGATCTAAAATTTGTATGTCTAATGCAAAATCTATGATGTTTATATTCAAAATGATCATCAAATTGAAAGAATTCCAGCAATGTAAATTATATTCTGGCCGGGTAATTTGTATGAATTTTATGAGCTTAAACAAATATCTTCAGTTAATAAAAAAAAAAATATTCTTCACACCGTGCCAGATGGTCGGTCGGTCCCTCCCTCCCCCCCACCCCCCACCAACCCTCCCTACCAGATAAATGTGTGGGAAAACCAGAATATTTACCTTTTTAGTAATAAACAATACCTCAGACTAAAGTTAGGATAATATAATTGACATTACTGGATTCCTTGTAAGACCAGGAATATTTTGAAAATAAATGTCATATATTTTGCACAAAAGATAACATATTTACTCAGAGTAAACATTAGATATAAAATTTGTATGTCTAATGCAAAATCTATGATGTTTATATTCAAAATGATCATCAAGTTGTAAGAATTCCAGCAATGTAAATTATATTCTGGCCGGGTAATGTGTATGAATTTTATGAGCTAAATAAAAAAAAAAATTATACTTCACGCGTATATGGGTAGATGAACCGCGGAAAGTGAAAGTTCGGGTCTGGCGAGGCACCGCGTATATGAGAAATCGCGTAAAGTAAGACCGCGTAAAGCGGGGTAATACTGTATGTAAATTTATATTGGAAACATTTAGGGCAGTGACCGTGAACCTCATTGGCATTGATGGACTGTTAGGGGCACTGCTCTCAACTGCTTTCTCTGCTCCAATTGTAAAGTCAGGCACTGTACCTATTCTCAATTGGATTGACTGAGGGCACCCCACTCAATGACTGGCAACCACTGGGTCAGGAGGTGAATGATACATCCCTTTTAATCTAAATTCAAAATTACTTACTGGTCAACCCAGAGAGGGTTTTCTGTAGTGTTTAAGCCCAAATCTTCGTCAATATTACGCTTAATAAGATGTTCACTGGATCTGCTGGATGGAGTCATCACCCTGAGAACATACCATAAACTTATGAAATTTAAAGATCATTTAAGATAAATACAGTATTTTAATGGTAAGACATCAAGCATCTACATTTTAATCATAATTAATACAAATCATCATATGTTCATCACCTTTCCTCCACCAACATGTGCCCTTTATTCCTAATCTAAATAGTTTTTAGCATCAAGACCCTGCACTCTTAAAGGGTTCCATGGCCCAGTTGATAGTACTCTGGACTTCCAGTCTGTGAGATATGAGTTCATTCCTCTGTCATACAAGATTGATGGGATTTTATAGTGTTGTGATATAGACATAGGCTGGCCACCTGCCACACCAGTCCCCTGGGCTATGCAAATTGTGAGGAATGGTTTAAATCATTATAAATTATCCTCTAGTTTATTGAGATATTTCAATTAATATTTTTTTATTATTATATATATTTATGATAGCAATTTAATGTTACATGCACAATAAACTCACCAATATCTGAGGCAGCAACACACAACAATGAAAGAGATAAAGCCAATAAAGAGAACAATCATGAGAGCAATGAGACCAGCCAGGCGGGCATCAACCTCTTCCCTCACTGCCACAATTGATGCCGGCTAAAACAGAATGGATTGTGTCATTCTTCATATATGGATTATGTCATTTTTCATATATGGATTATGTCATTCTTCATATAGAGTACATATTTATGTGAAAAATTAAAGAAGACAAAATTTCTGAAACAATTAAAAGAAAGGTTTTCCAATTCCAACAGCATATTATCAAACATAAGAGACTTAAAAGTATGAACACATATGTTGTATTGGTCTACTGTACTTACAAAGACATTCTCAATAAAAAATGAGTTTGAGCTATTGGTAAGAGTGGCATATCCCTGATCCATTCGCTTAAGCACCACAGGCACAGGCATCACTTGCTCAGTCTGATTTACGACGTGGACCAACATGTCAGCTCTATGAGACAAAAAATATATTAGAATTATCATCTTAAATAGTTTCTCTCCTACTTTAAAATTTTAAAATGTATTAGCATAATTTTCACATTATTTGCAATATAAGATGGTATCAGTAGATCAGTGATATAAACAGTGCTGAGCCATATTTGAAGCACAGATTGGTGTTACATACCTCTCACGGTTGACAGTATTGTCAGGGTTTACATGATATCTAATTTCATCTACGACTGCTGTTCCTTTAGCAACCTGTAGTGGTGAGAGTCATTATCATTGGTAATGTGCTTCATTCAAAATAAAAATGCTAGAAATATAGGAACAATAAAAAAATCATGATACTCTATGGGTATCTCTTGAGATACAATTGTTTGAGATGTAAATATTTCCGAAATTGACACCACTATTTCAAGAAACGAAAGCATCCCTAGCTTATACAAATTTGGGTCTAGACAAAAGTTCAAATTATGCATGCTGGGAGTCACTAATCAAGTCCCACAAGCCTGCATCTTTCCTTCTGCCATTGATTGTATGTTTGAAGTGATCTCTCTTTATCCATGTGTATTCACATCATCCTTTTGTTACAACTTTCATAATGGCAACCAAGCATTCTGTTGAACCATCAGCTACCTGTACTACACCTTACAAACCACAAAACTGAAAGTATTTAAGTGTCATGAATGTGGTGATGGCCCTACCAAGATTGGGAAAGACCTGTGTCTGGCTGCTTCTACTGTGGCCACAATTTACAAGCATGCTGTGATGAGATGGACAACCCTCCTCATTTTGGTGAGTGCCAAAGGCCTTTACTCAGCCCACCCCTGCTCACCCCCTTATGGTGGTGAGCCCAGACTACCCTCCCATAATGTAGTAATACACTAAAGATAAACAGTATTTTATTAAAAAATTTCATGTGTTTGGTCGTAAATTAAGAGGAGTTGTGTACTATTCATCATTAGTTAGGTAGTTTTTGTTCTTGTTTGTAAACTGATTTCATGTTCTTGGGGTATGATATTAAGGTATTTTTGTTATTGGGGAACCAAACCCTACTTTTTCCATATGTTTTTCTATTTGTATACTAATATGAAAATTCATCTAACTTTTTTTTTTGGGGGGGGGGGGGAACTAACCCATTTGTATCTCGGGGGATACCTGTACACTCAAAATGTAAGACCATCATTTTAAAGAAATCAATCTGTAAGAATTATGGGAATAAAAGAAAATAAATCCTCCTTTAGAAATTGAAAGGACTAAGCGTTGATTTAATATGAAACCTTATAATAATGTTAATGCTCATAGAAGAAAAATGCACTGTTATGCTGGTCATCTTCAACCTTTTATGGTAATTTTTGCAAGTTTGTATGAGTTGGCCATTGTTACTAAATCAAAGATCTCGAGTAATTTATGACTCTCAAGTGTCACAGTTACTGGTAACTTGTCTTCCCTTGGCCCACCTGTGAAAGAGTCGCAGCAATGTCCTCTTGACGACGAACTACTTCTTCAGGGGGTTGGGCAAGGACAACTCTTACTAGGTCTTCTCTCTCCCAAACCCACACCTGATAAAATGATGCATAAACTAACAAAAAAATTGAATTTCATTCTACATAAATATTATAAGCACAACACTCACAGCATGTACAGTAAACACATGCATGTTATTAACTCTTAAATACATTCTTAAATACATATACTTAAATACATATACAGCTACTCCTCGATTTACGACATACTCAACCTACAACCACCCGGACATACGACAGCCTCAGTTGCACCAAAATTTTGTCAAATTACGTATTTTCGAGTCCCAACGTTAGTGATTGCGCTGTTTACTGACAAAATTTTTGTTTGTAATTCACTTTAAAATGGCTGGCAAGCTTAAAAGTGAGAGTTTTGTGGTGCTGAGAAGAAAAAGAGACAACCATTTTAGATTTTCTATGTATTATTTAAGCATTTTCGACTTACGACCAATTCGACTTACGACCAATTCGACTTACGACCTGGATTTGGGTCCCTAACCCCGTCGTAAGTCGAGGAGCAGCTGTATAATGAACATTGCATAAAGCTGGCACAACACTGAAAATTTTCTTCACATATACTGTACAGAAATAAAATACAGTGATCCCTCAGTTAACGAGCGCCTCAGTTAACGAAATTTCGGTTTATGAATTACCTTCCATAAGATTCTTAACTTCGGTTAACGAGCATTCCCTCGATTAACGAATTCCTTACGAGCACCCCTCAACATGTTTTTGCTTGCACAATAGCTGTCATATTAGTCCGCCAATACAGTAATCGGTTCTACGGCTTAAATTCCTTACTATTTTAGTAAATATCAAGAAGTTTGTACTATTCAATAATTTTAAAAGTCTTATATTAAAATTTTTAGTAATTTTAACAATTATTTAATATAATTTAAGTACAGGGAAACTAGTTTTTAGCGCGCCAAACAGCCTGTCAACACACCATACAGACGTCAGTCTCTGTGTCTTTTCAGTGGAGGTAACATCTTACTTCAGACTCTCTTCAACATAAACGTTTTTTTTTCTGTGTTTCCAGTCAAATTATTGGTCATTCTGAAGTTTATTTTACATATTGACAATATATAATGCAGTGCAGTGTTGATTTAAAGAAAATAATCTTGAATTACACCAAGTGAACTAAAATTTTATGGGTGAAATGGCGCCATGGGGTGACTTCTCTTCCACCCCAATGCCTTCTCTTCTCCCTTCTCCTCCACCCCCATTCTAATTCCCATCATCATCATCATCCAGGAGCCTTGTATTGTACATACACACCTCAAAGTAAGTGTGCTTTACTACCTTTTTTGTTGACTTTAGGCAATTTTCGGTGAGCTGGAACCAATTACCAAAAACCCATTGAAACAATAGTTTCGGTTAACGAATTTTTCGGTTAACGAGCAACCTTCTTTTACGAATTGTGCTCGTTAACTGAGGGACCACTATAAAAACACTACAGAGACAGACGGACATCACAAAGAGGAAGATGCCTGAATAAAAGTTAGTGACACAGTACAGTAATATCTCCGTTAGCTGGGATCCCTCGAACCTGAAACTCTCCGATAGCCGGAATTTAAATTTTCTCGGAAAATTGTTCCCAAAGCCAGAATTTTCCGAAAAATTCCGGTTTTGGGAACTATTTCCCAAGGGGCACATTTTCCGGAGAATTCAGAGAAAATTTTCCTGATACACGGAAAATTCTGGAAAATTCCGGAGATGGGGGAGTTTTTTTCTGGGTTTGAGGGATGAAAATCAGGTACATTTTCTGGAAATTTTGAGACAAATTTTCCATTACCCGGAAAATTACAGAAAATTACGTGGATGAGGGATATTTTTCCGGGTTCGAGAGATAATGTAATGGACAATTTCTGGAACTTCCGAGAACATTTTCCGTTACCCAGAAAATTACGGAAAATTTTGAGGATGAGGGATATTTTTAACGGCTTAGAGTGAGTCGTCTCGTTACCTGGAAATCTCTCATTCCCGGAAGTGCTCTGCACCAATTGTTCCGGCTAACGGGGATATCACAGTCCTGTACAGTATATGAAATATCCAAAACATTTAGGATATAAAATACTCACTGTATTGTACAATAGAATCTGGTTTTATAAGTGAAAATAACTGATACTCTACATGTAACAAAAGACTTCATGAAAAGAAAGTGCATTCACATGGAAGAAAGGCCAAGAAATGTGAGAATAAAATGAAGTTTATTTAGCTGTAACAAACAACCACATGATGTCTTCTGTGATGGAGAGACAGACAGAACAGTGCAAACTAATAAAGCCAGCCTTAAATGTACATCATTGGTGGGGTTATAGTTATAATATGCAATTAGTCATAACTGATGAACATATCATTGACAGACAACCCAAAATAGAAAAGGAGTGATTAGGAAATCTCACCAATTTGAATCATAGAAAGACACAGGTGACTTTTTCAGTAAAAATTTGGAAGTTTTTGACAATTAAGAGTCATGTGACATTACTTTAACTGAGATAAAGTTTTAAGTGCATATAGATTAATAAGATCTTTTTCATTTATATTTTTAATTTTTTTTTACGCTTATTTTTTCCGCCCCCTAGGCCCTGTGGGCTATTCCCCGTAAAAAAAAAAGTAGGATTAAAACTCACATTGACACTGCAGGTGGCAGTGCGATATGGCGGTGCCTCCTCCTTTGCTTGCAGTTGGAGGAGGAAGCGGTGGCGGCGGTACTGGGACATGAGGGAGGCAGTGGTGAGCTTACCATCTTGTGTGATGTTGAATGGTGATGGAATAATGGAGCCGATGGCCTTAGTTTCTCCTGTGGTAGAGAAGGTAGCTTATTATTTTCATGTTTTTGAGAATACAGGAAATAAAATATTTTTAATATCTCTGTTGATAAAGGTCCAGCAAGGGATGACAAGAGCTGTTAGAGTTGATTCACAAGCTGAAAAACTCTGTCATAAATTAAACTACCTTCCACTGCATGTAATGTGAAATAAGGCTTTTCACTGCTCAGAAAATGTATATAGTTGTTAATTAACTTTCCTTCTTTCTAATCCCTTTAAATTCCAGTATATCTAACACATACAATTTATTAAGATTAACTTGTACTGTATTTCTATTTCAAGTAGCTATCTTTACTTTCTTCACTAGTCTTGCATCACTCCCCATTACTATTTACATTTACATGTATTCCTCAATTAATACACTTAACAAAATAAAGATAATAAAATAAACTCATAAATCAATCTCTCAGCCTTTTAATTACATAAAATTAGATAATGTAAAAATAGTTGAACACCTTATTCTTGAAGATATTATGAAGCCTATAGAGTTTTGTAACAAGTTTGTTTGAGTGATGAATTTTCTGTATTCAATTACTTTCAGTAAGAAAAAATAAATGCTCTATAGGTAACACACATCAAAGTGACTCACCTGGTCTGAAGAGATTGGATGCTCTGATAGAGTATGTCAGAGTGCCATTAAGGCCAGCATCCCCATCAACAGCACTCACCATTCTCACAAATCTATCAACCTCTGCTTCATATGACACCCCTGTAACAGAGACAGCAAACAACTTCAATAGAAATACACCTTTATGTCATTGTGCTCCTACTTAAAACAGTGAATATTCTCAAATACCCTGTAGAATATAGATATTGGTAGAGTGATTTTCACATGGTGTCCATTATTAAAATTGTGCTTTAATCTAGATACAGTAAGTCCTCGTTTAACGATGGCCTGCTTAATGTTGTTTCGGTACTACGTCGCTAATCTTTAGATACCAAAAATTTGTTTAATCTCCTAATGACTCAGTACAATGTCGTTTTGCTTCGTCAAGGACTACTTTTTATGGCGCATCACCCTCTCTCATCTGGCCGCACTACGCTCTCTCGGCTCGGCGCAGAGTCTCAGTGACTCACCACCCTCCTCCTCTCCTGCCCTCTTCCACTCCCACCCTCCTCCTCGGCTCCCGCCATACTACTCCCCTCCCGCCATCCGCCTCCTCCGCTTCATTACCCACCACACACATAACTCTACCACCTCCGCCCATCGGTGAGTACCAATACAAATTTATTAGTTATACAGTGGGGTATGCTATAACAAATCTAATTGGTTCTAGAACCTTGTTCGTTATAGCATTCGTTTGTTATAGGATTAATCCGTTCCAGGCCCCCAAATACAACCACTTAACACTGAAAAATATAATATAAAATTGTAAAAATTGTAAAAAAGTGCATAAATATGCATCTAAACCCCTGAAATAAAGAATATCATTAATATTTGTAATAATAAAACAATAAATTAGAAAAAAAAAATTAAATTATGTTCGTTGTAGGAGTTTCGTTCGTTATAGCATTCTCAATTTTATAGGTAAAACCGTTCGTTATAGGAATATTCGTAGTAGGATCCGTTCGTTATAGCATACCCCACTGTATAAGTAAGCACTATTTTCTATAGAAATGGCAATGATTTTCTGTATATGTAATGTATTTCGTGGGGCAAAGGGAAGCTCAGGAACATAACTCCAGTATTTTATCTATTTCTTATGGGGAAAATTGATCTGCTTAACATTGTCTTGTACAATGTCGCATTTTGGGGAACATAACCCCGACGTTAAGCAAGGGCTTACCGTACAATAAATATAAGCCTAAAATTCTTCAGAACTTAATGATTTACATATAGTAATTAAATCAGTTCCCTACAATACTACACTCTTCAAGTTGTATTGTTTCTCTGTAAAAAATAATTCCTAAGTTAGATAAAACTTCCAGACCAGAGTATTTTTCACACTTCAAGGGTTTATTGTCTTCTGTAAATAGATTGTCATTATATACATTATTTCAACATGTCCTAAATGTCCCATTTCTATTTTGTGCCAAGACAGAGACCATTTAAACATTAACTGGTGCTTTCATGGCAAAAGACCACCCAACTGTAAGTTACTTCTTCCAAATAACAGGTTATTATGTCTGCAAGGATGAACATGAACATACCTAAAAAATTTCCTCCATTTACAGTTTATTTTAATTAGATCAATATGAAAAGGTACCACAAGTCACAAATGTAGAGTCCAAGGCATGGCAAACAACTTTACATCAAGTATCCAAGGGACCAAATTTACCCTCAGTTACATTAAACTTACTTAGAACATTTGGTTAACTCACCGGCATAATAAGCTTCACTAATAAATCGTGGTGGTGTGTCGTTCTCATCTTCAATGTTGACAGTGATGATGGCTAGCGTTGGATCTTCTTCATTATATAAGACTTCTTGGTTTGGGTCAAAAATAAAATTAGGGTCATTGGTGGCCTTGACCACGAGTGTGTATGAAGCTCTCTGCTCCCGGTCAAGAACAGCATTGGTGTAGAGTTTGCCATGAAGTTTGTCCAGGTAGAAGCTCTCGTGGGCATTACCAGAGACCAAGTAATAGAAAACCTTAGCGTTGATTCCTGAATCAGGGTCCACAGCAAGAAGTTGACCTGTGTTAATGGGATTAATATGAATCAATGTGTCTTTATATTCTTGCAATAAGAATATTATCTTAAAAAGAACTAAATCCCTTTTATATATTTTTACTGTATACTATAAATATCTGTGACTATTATCCTGTTCCTATTCTAGTTTTAACACACACACACACACACACACTTCATCCTTGACCACTGACGGGTCAAGACGGGTCAGACGCACCTGGCGCTGCTCAGCAGCAGCCACGTCAACTGTTATGTTGGCCCATACCAACTCCCTCCCCTGAACCCTCCTCCCCACCGGAATATCAACAAGTTCTCGCCAGAAGTTACTATTTCATTTGGGAAAGGAATGGAACCAGTGTTGAATAGTGGTGAACAGTGCTTAAGTCAGTGAAAAACAACTCGGCAGTTGAGTCTGAGCCAAGCTAACCTTCACACAGTAAGGTCCCAGGTACCCAGTGATAATTCCCCTTGTACTGCGCACATCATTGCCATTCCTAAAAACCCATTTTAATTCATATTACGCTACATAACATTCAAATCCACCGCGCTTGTAGAATCTCAGGAGAGACGTGTTTTTCCCATCTGTTTTACCCTCAGGATCACTCCCAGTAAGTCCCGCCTTCGAACACAGTTGTCACTACGTTTATTGCACTCTCTACTGGCAAATGCAACCTTGAATTAGTCTGTGTAAATCAACTTTAGTAATTCGCCAGACTTTTGTCAACTGAGGGTCATCCTTGAATGAGTAACAGTTAGATTGTTTGTAATTTCTGTCATTGCGTGAGTAGCGATCGCTGGCAACTCGGGTATATAAACCAGTGCGAGGCGGGAGGAATAAACCTCCCATATCATCTTTCACCTTCGTTCCCAGGTATGTTCTGTGTTTATTAGCATTCAGTTTGATTCAGTCTATTGTAGTGAATATCAGTGTTCATGCTTTAACAGTGGAATTGTCATTCAACCAGTGTACGAAGTAATATAACGTAAATATCTGACGTGGCGAGACTGAAGATTTGTTTGTGACCCACCATGCTTCCCCAAAAAACTTTCCATATCATCTTTCACCTTCGTTCCCAGATCGAGGGTGGGCTTAATTGAAACCCACCGGTCGCTCGGAGCCAGTGGATACCCAGCAGTGGTCAATATAGGAGTGATGGTGCTGATTCGGCATGATTTATCAGCTCCACTCTACCTCGTGGGCCGAGGACCCCAGACCCACCTCGGGTCGGAGTGTAACCGACCACAACAGTAGTTGTTAGAGGCGCCAGTGCTATACCCTGGGACAGGCCTTGGAGTTATGGTCCACAGTGTGGTTGTATGTGTTTGTTAATAATTACCCCATGTTGGGTGGTGGACCCATGTCGGTGTTTGTATCAGTATTAGTGTACTGTGAGTAAGGACAAGGAACTGGTTCTGCTATGTGATGTAATGTGACACCAGTAAGAGGGTGCACTGTAAGAGTGTAATATATGAGTAATTGCTGTTGAGTAAATAAGAAAATAAGTACATAAGAAATACAGAGTCTGCAATAGGCCCAGGAGTTGAGCCTGGTAGTTATATGTTAATAACATCTATTTTCCCCTTCGATTTTATATTAATAAACTTGTTCTTTGAGAATTTTAGGAGTATTCATTTCTCCCACAGTAGTTACCTTTATTTCCGTCCAAGTGACCCTGATATCAGAATTACACTACCCATGTGCCTAGACCATCGACATGCTACCAAGAAGAACTGTGGTTAGGTAGTACCAAAAATGAACTGAAGTGAGTAGAAGGAACATTTGAAAGGACTAAGACAGGTTGTGGTTTCACCCTTCTTTCCCCTTATCGATCTGGTCAATGAAATACCTAACCCAATGCCTAGTCCACTCTGCACGCTACCTAACGAGCTACATGCTGTCCAGAGGGGGTCTGGTGGCAGCGACCCTTAGAAATTAAGATTAGATTTAAGTATTCCCCCTCAGTATTAGTGACCCCAGTCTGGCAGCATACCCTGAGACTCCACGATAGAGAGGCCTGGGACCACACCTCACCCACTTGAGTGAGTGAATTCCTGTGACAACGGACCACGTGGTGTCCCCATTATGCACGACACCGCATAGTGAATGAGTTGCTACAGCATCATGTGAAGTTCCTCATAACACCTGCGAGGGAATTACTACACCACGTGATGCCCCTCATAACACCATCTGTGAGGGAATTACTACACCACATCAGGCCCTCATAACACCATCTGTGAGGGAAGCACTACACCACATCAGGCCCCTCATAACACCATCTGTGAGGGATGCACTACACCACATCAGGCCCCTCATAACACCATCTGTGAGGGAAGCACTACACCACATCAGGCCCCTCATAACACCATCTGTGAGGGAATTACTACATCATCAGGCCCCTCATACACCATCTGTGAGGGAACTACTACATCATCAGGCCCTTCATAACACCATCTGAGAGGGAATTACTACACCACGTCAAGCCCCTCATAACAACACCTGTGAGGGAGTTACTACACTACGTGTCTGCTGTTCAACACCTCAGCTCACATGATCTACGTGTGTAAACATCAATCTGTATGTTCACTGTATATGTTCCTTCACCTTTCTCTAATGAAGGCTTTTGTTAAACCACCAATGTATGTAATAAGTCATTTATGTCCATTGTATATTTTCAGTCTTCGGGCTGCAAACTTTTTCAATAAACCCGTTTTTATTGTTATTCACACACACACACACACACACACACACACACACACACACACACACACACACACACACACACACACACACACACACACACACACACACACACACACACACACACACACACACACACACACACACACACACACACACACACACACACACACACACACACACACACACACACACACACACACACACACACACACACACACACACACACACACACACACACACACACACACACACACACACACACACACACACACACACACACACACACACACACACACACACACACACACACACACACACACACACACACACACACACACACACACACACACACACACACACACACACACACACACACACACACACACACACACACACACACACACACACACACACACACACACACACACACACACACACACACACACACACACACACACACACACACACACACACACACACACACACACACACACACACACACACACACACACACACACACACACACACACACACACACACACACACACACACACACACACACACACACACACACACACACACACACACACACACACACACACACACACACACACACACACACACACACACACACACACACACACACACACACACACACACACACACACACACACACACACACACACACACACACACACACACACACACACACACACACACACACACACACACACACACACACACACACACACACACACACACACACACACACACACACACACACACACACACACACACACACACACACACACACACACACACACACACACACACACACACACACACACACACACACACACACACACACACACACACACACACACACACACACACACACACACACACACACACACACACACACACACACACACACACACACACACACACACACACACACACACACACACACACACACACACACACACACACACACACACACACACACACACACACACACACACACACACACACACACACACACACACACACACACACACACACACACACACACACACACACACACACACACACACACACACACACACACACACACACACACACACACACACACACACACACACACACACACACACACACACACACACACACACACACACACACACACACACACACACACACACACACACACACACACACACACACACACACACACACACACACACACACACACACACACACACACACACACACACACACACACACACACACACACACACACACACACACACACACACACACACACACACACATCATTAATGTAGAGTATTCCCTTACTATCATGCAACTAAATACTGTTAAGAATATTAAGCACTGAATCTAGAGATATTACCAAAATATGATATTAATCAAAATGTGTGTCGCAGTTTTTTATTTCAACATACCAATAAATGTGTGTTTAGCTGTGTTCTCTACAACACTGAAACGGTAAGCTTGTGGCATCCTGTTCTTGGGGAAAACTGGCCGATTATCGTTCATGTCCTCCAAGAGTACTGTCAAGAATCGCAAGGTCTCATAGGATATTGGTGAACCCTGATCCTTGGCCACCAACACCAACTGTTAAGGAAGAGACTTAGGTTAACTTATGGACGAGAAATTGTATTTTATGGACTTCTGTATATATTTCTATCTCCCTTTCTTCCACTCCCGTGCAACAGTAGAAGAGATCATAGGAGAATATTTTGTGGAAGAAACATTGCTCTACATTGTAAAATGTTGTCTGTGCACCATACTAATTTGAAATTTACTCTGCACATCCATCTCCGTCATTATTACCTTGGGAACTCATACAAACTGACTTTTTAAAATAACATCTACATAAAACAATTGCCACTTTGGTTTCTTACCTCATACTTATGTTGTTCTTCTCTATCCAGCACGCTTTAGTGGTAAGATCACCAGAGATAGGGTCTAGATGGAACTCAGGTGTATCCTGAAGATTTTCCTCACCTACACGCAAGTGATAACGCACCTCCCCATTGGCTCCAGAGTCCTTATCCTCAGCTTCAACTGTTATTACCTCCTGCACAGGTGAGCTCCAGTTCTGCAACATTGATAATATTTAGAAAAAGAACATTATTTACAATTATTATTACAAATAAAATACACAAGTTTCCATTACTCATCTACTGCATGAAGGTATTATTTCCTGCTTTATGTTCTATGACCTCACGAATGTATCAAAACATCTTTCTTGTCATTTCATTACTAATGAGAGAGAACAGCAGCCATGGAGAAATCAATGCTACACTACTATTTTTTGGTCGTTACCTACACTTACCCTGTAGGTGGACTCACCTCCTGGACGAAAACAGTGGCATTGGGCACAGCTGGGGAGACAAACTTAGGTTTGTGTTGGTTTTGGGGTAGGACTGTAATTTCTACCATAGTTTGATCACTGTATTCACCTGTTGGTAAAAAGAATAAGAAAGAAATTTATAAATTTGAAATTCCTCTGTTACAATAACCAATAAAGGTACCTATATTAGACTATGACACTAAACAAGCCACTAGCATTCTTCACCTAGCTGTTCCTCTTTGTCTTTATGCACACACTGCATCTCAAGAGATTTAGTTACTGATACTTTTACTTTTACTTTTATTCTCTTCGCCATTGATCAGTCGGTCGGTCGGTCACGTCTATGATACATACTGTTGGCATATATACTGGGCATGCACTGGCTCCTGAATATATCAGAACCAGCTCCAGTGTTGGTCAAGTCCGGCCTTGAATGAGCTCACACTCGGTGCCTTCACAACGCTCTCTGGCAGATTGTTCCAAGAGTTCACAATTCTCACTCTGAAAACGTTTGCCCTCACAGTTTTCTGGACTTGTGGCTTCTTCAACCATGGGCTGTGACCCCTTGTGGGGTGGACGTCCACCAGCTCCAGGTATGTACATTCGACCGAGTAGTGCCCCCTGAGATGTTTATATACTTCAATTAGGTCGCCCCTCACCCATCTGTAGTTAAAGCTAGGTAGTTGCAGGTGCTCCAATCTCTCTGGGTAACTGAGGTTCTGTAGAGCCAGCACCAGTTTGGTGGCCCTCCTTTGGACATTTTCAATCAATTGGCAGTCTCTAGCATACCTCAGAGACCAGATGGGGTGACAATACTCCAGGCGGGGAAGCATCTCACTCTTGAAGATCATGGCGAGTGATGGACCATCTCAATATCTAAATGACCTTCTTATAAAACCTATTACAGTAGTTTTGTTGCCTAATTCATTTTCTTCTCACAATGGCCCAAGAACTTAAGTTCATTGTCAACATACACACCCAGGTCCTTTATGCATTCAGTCTCAATTAATGCAGTCTCTTCATCCTGTTGGGACATGTGATATGCCTCCTTACTATTGGTGTAACCTAGGTGCATCCTCTTGCACTTCGTGACAGTTAATCTTAGCAGCCATTTCCTTGACCATTCTTGAAGCTCATAGAGATCTTTCTGCAGCTCTTCACAGTCTGTTTGGTTCTTAATTTCCCTAAATAACTTGGCATTGTCAGCAAACATTTGTATGGAGGAGTGTATAACTTCTGGCATGTCATTTGAGAAACATAAATAAAAACAAAGTTATAATTAAACATAAGAATTTGTGAAACAGATGGATGAAGTAGGATACCACCCTCCCATGAATTTAAAAACTCCATCCACGGGTAATGTGACATACCTCAAGAATCAGAAAAAACTGTAAAAGTCTTCTTTTTCACAGTACTGTATCAAAGATAGTGGTTTATTACCTGTGCCATTAAGGTCCCTGGCCAGTATGGTGAGGTTGTAGTTGCTGGGTGTTGCTAGAAGGGTACGGGCTGGGTAGAGGATACCTGTCTCTGGGTCTAGCCAGAAGGCTTCTGGAAATAAATGGCTCAAGATCACAAAATAGTACCAGGATTAAAGAACATAACCTGTGTCATCATATCTGCTAAAACTACAGTATACATAGATTGGCTAGTCACAGGAAGCTCCTAACATACTGTACTGTACCAGAATGGTATGGTACTATGATCACAGATCTATAACAGTATGGTGGTCACATTTATACTACAGATACCAGTAAATGCAAGAATAAGCAGATTTAAGGGGATCGTCTGGCTTAGGTTGATGAAAAAAAAATAAATAAAATATCATAAAATGCGAAAAAATTCCTGAGCAAAGGTGTTGTCTATGGCATTATGTGGACGAAGTTTTATGGCAATATTATTAATATTTATGCAGTTATATATGGTCTCCCACCCCTACCTTCCCAAGTCCCCTTGGGTAGACATATGAATGATTGTAGTAAAAAATTTTCCCCAGAAATATGGAATAAATAGCACAAAACAGACTTTAGAAATTCATTTCAGGCAACTCTCTTCCTCTCTGTCGAGTGTAGGGAGGTAGACACACTCAGTTGGTCTCGGATCTTGTCAAGGAGAGGAGGTGTGTACTCTGCAGCACCGCATATCTTACCTCACTTGTACTGCTGTAACAGGCTTCTCTCCTTGACTATCAGGATGGCATATGATTCAAAACATAAAGCAACTAAAGGAAGCACATGCCAAGAGCATTGCTAAATCCAAGAATATAACTGGAGTTCAGTTGGAGAAGTAAAAATACACACAAAAAACACCCAAGATATTACATGTAAAATTGGCTCATAATGAGCTCTTAGACAGGGGAGAAAGAATGAGAAACTTTATCGGCATGTATCTCAAAATGAACTTTTCCAACACTCTAGATTGGAATTTCTCTGCCAGTTTTTGACCATTTCAATGAAACAAAAAATCAGCACAGAAAGATTCTTTCCTCAACATAAATACAACTTCCAATTTTTTCTATCTTGTAAGATTTTATTTTTGGTTGAATATTTTATCTCAATATTTTGACAAAATTTCTACCAAACTTGTAATATTCAGTGAAAATGATAGATCTCTTAGCAATATCAATAATTTCAAGGCAAAGTAAAAAGAAGTAATGGAGAAACAGTACCCTGAAAATTTAGAAAGGGGTGAGAAAAGGTGTAAAGGGTTGACAAATTTGAAAGGGTAGAAGGGAGTTATGAGGCAAGAATTGATGTACGCCCACTAAAAAATTATTCGGCACCCATGTTATATTGTATCACACCGTAAGGGTGCAGAATAATTTTTAAGTACATGATACTTGTACACACACACACTCACATGTATACATGCACGATACATACATGTACACCCACTAAAAAATTATTTGGCACCCTTACTGCGTGATACAATATGACATGGGTGCTGAATAATTTTTTAGTGGGTGTACATATGATCCTTGGTTGATGACAGGAATATCATAACAATGGGTCAAAATTAAAAGCACCTACACCTTAACCCGAACTCCTCGCTTAATGCTAAAACAATACACTATGAACAAAGGGTGCTGCTGACCTTGGTCATTGCCATTAGTAATGGAGTACCTAATTAAGGCATTAATTCCCTCATCATCATCATGAGCGGTGACCTGGACAATAGGTGCTGGAGGATCCAGGGGGAGATTCTCCACCACACTGGCAGAATATGACCCCTGGCTGAAGGTTGGACCATGGTCATTCACATCAGTGATCGTGATGTGAAGCTGTTTGAGAAAATAAATGTTAGGAACACTATTAATTTTTTTTTTTAGAAAATCGAATGTAGATCAATCAAACAAAGAAAAAATCTTAAGTTTAAGCACGATTTTTAATGTAATACCTGTATATTCATGCTACAACTTTAAAAACTACTGTACTAGCATGCCAGACATTATAAAAACCTTCTTGAAGACTCATTAAATAGTTGATCTAATTATTTTTCTAGACTACTAAGTACAGTACCATCACAAAGTCATTGATTACAACAATCATTTAGGTTTTGGACTCACTGGGACAGATGATTGGCGCCGATGATTTTCTGGAGCTTCATCTGTTGCCACGACCCGCAGAACGACTGAAGACAAACTCTCACGGTCCAGCAAGGCACCATTCCTCACTGTCACAACTCCAATGCGATTGATGGCAAAATCCTCATGATGGTTACCTAAAGGTAAGGCAGATTTAGGGTGAATGAGAACACTTTCATTATTCCATTATAAGCATGTAGAAGAGCTAAGAAAATAAAAATTACCTTTTTCTATTGTTTAAGTACTAAATGCAGAAGGAGTGGGGACTGACCTGCAAGAGAGTAAGTGATGACCCCAAATTGGCCCTCGTCAGCATCTGTGGCTGTAACACCCATGATGACAGTGCCTGGTGGGGAGTTCTCAGCTACCTGTGCATCATACACAGGGGAACTAAACACTGGCTCTTCATCATTGATGTTGTCCAGCTGTGGAGGAGACAGAGTAATGAACGTGGTGTGAACATAAATAACTATTAAGCATGATTTAACACACAATTAATGTACAGTACAGTATAGGCATTCCATACCTGTCAACTCCCCATTACTTAGTACACACATAGAGTATAAAGGATCTCCAGCACACCAAGTTGGTCCCTTGTGATGTTTCTTTCATACACACACACACACACCACATTTTAATTTAACAATTAAATTTCTAGCACTTACCATATCTATCTGTAGAACACAAAACACATGCCTGCTCAGTTTTTTGTTGACTACTGCACTTGGCACCCCACAATGCTTAGCACACTTCAGAACCAAGCAGCTGCTAATACTTAGCACACTTAAGAATCACAATCCAATCCAATCATTAATACAGTACTATGTATATACTTCCCAATACTCAGCACCCTGCAACATTCATACACTAATAACTTCCACAAACATCAGATCAAATTGTCACATCTTCCAGTAATACTCCAATTCATTATTTAGGTCTCTCAATTCTCTATCATCAATATAATCAGTCTAACACAATCCACTCCAAGATTTGCCCCTTTTCTGGAGGTACCCTATCACTTGATCTATCCCACATAAAAAAGGGAGAGGAATTAAGATAATATAGCAAAATACTGTCGAGATATTACCTTCACAGTAACAGTGGTGGAGGCAGACAGAGTGGGCACACCAGTGTCATGAGCCACCACAATGAAGCTAAGCTCAGGCTGTGTTTCATAGTCCAGTCTGGCCTTGACTGTCACAACCCCTGTGACATTATCCAGGGCAAAGTGCTCTGATGGTTCTGCTAGAGAGTATCCACCTATTGAAAACAAAGAACAGTTGCTGTTTGAGCTACCCAAATTAATTAAAGGACACACAACTGTTTCCTTGTTGAATTGACTTTGAAATGTTATGAAGATGTTTCAACATTGAATACAACACTGGAAACACAGATTTATTATGTACTTCTGTATTTTTTCTCCTTTGGTTTGTGAAATATAGGTAAAAAAATATACATACAGTGTCAAATATTAAAGAAATTTAAAAAATCAGATCATAAAATATACTGTAATGAGAAAACAATAAGTCCAGGTCCTCTTGTAAAGGAAAATTATTCCAGGTATTGTGTCCAGATACAGATTCACCAGACAACTGGATAGAGAAATACATTAATTAAGAAAAAAAAGGGGGAAGGAAAAACATAATCACACGAGTCTGAAATACTGCTGAGTTTGTCACCCTGATATTTTAATGTGTAACTCTTCTTTTTACCTATGTTGGAGTCAATATCAGAGGCAGTGATGGTAGTCAGAAGGGAGCCTCGAGGCAATTCCTCTGCCACTCTAACATGAATAGTTGGACTCTCAGGACTCCATGGGGGAGGGAATACCGGTGGGAAGTCATTCACATCCACAATGGTGATTACGAGGCTGCCATGACCCACCTGAGGAAGGTACAGTAGTAGTGATGACTTTCAGTATAATGGGGGATGAGTGAGGGAATTTTATGAGAGTAAAACTGATAGTACCTGCATTAAACACTTAAATTACATAAGTGAAAAGTAGACTTTTTTTACTTGTCAACATATAAAGACTGGTTTTCATCAAAGGACACAAATTAAATCCTAATTGTCAAAACATGTATAAATAATGTTTGTTTCAGAAAAAATACAGGATTACACTGAGCTGCCATGAAGCGAGACTGAGGGAGACTAACCTGTGGTGGTGTAGCAGACACGTCCGTGACAGTGACAGCCAAGGAGACCTCTGTGGCTACAGCTCTGTCCAACTCCTTGGTTACTGTCACAACTCCAGTCAAGGAGTCGACCACAAACACCTCCTGTTTCAAGATGGGTCATAGTTGCTTATACTATTTTATCATCATGAAGGTAAGACAGTGCTAGAAGCTACATACAAGTTTAAGAAAATATAAAAATCCATTCAAGATTAGTTTTGATTTGGAGAGAGTTAGGCGAGAACATATTAAGATAATAAGAATTGTTGACACTGTTCCAAGAATTTAGAATGAGCCCTTCCCACATGTAATGTTATTAACGGTATCCTGCTTACATTCAGAAGGGGTACCTCTATTTCATATCCATGCAGAATATCAATACAACACTGATTTTACGGGCAGATGAGAAATTAACCAACCTACAAAGAAAAAATCTGAAGGTATAAAATATAAATAAGTCAGAAGAGAGGAGACTTCAGAAGACAACTCACTGCCAGGGCATCCCTCTGAGGTCCCTCCACAAGACGTCCATCACTGTCAACTGCAGACACTGGTAAATCAACTCCAAATACTAGTGCTCCTTCTCCTTCCACATCAGGGTCTTGTGCTGACAGTGTGTAGAATGTTGTTCCTGCCTGCACATCCTCTGAGACCTAGGAAGATGGACACAAAAGTTCTAAATGATTTTCTTAGAAAATCACATCTTTGTATAATTTACAGATGAAGTTGTAGAATTAGGAAAACATCCAAAAGACTCACCCTAGTTTCATCTAACTCAAATATCCTTCCTTATTCCAAAATTAAGAGCACAGTAGTGTACAGTTGTTGGTGGATCTTGGAAGTGGTATATTGTACTGACCTGTGTGCGCTGGGTAGTTGGGGTGAAATAAGGGCTCTTGTCATTGTTATTGATGATGCTAACAGTGAGAGTACTGGTTGATGTCTGCTGCGGGATACCTGGTAGAAGAAGGGGCCATAAAAGTCACTTTATTATTATTGGTACTAATTAAGTGCAGTACACTGTAACTGTTAAGCGTTTGAATGAGAAGGGTACAAATACATACTATAGAAAAGTTACTTCTGAAGTGCTTTGTTAACCTATCGATCATAATTAAGTGTTCATTAATGACTATAGCCCCTTCAACTCATTTACTGTACTGTACTTTAATTCTTTCTCAGGATGACTTCACTCCTTATTTATTGTGTCAAAATCCTTTGAATGCAATGACTTTAATTGTTTTATCCTAACCTCCATCTGTTGCCACAATCTCAATATCATAGCTCTGCCGTCTGTCATAGTCAAGCTTCCTGGCAACTGTGATGACACCAGTGACCATGTCAACAGCAAAGTCATCGTAACCACCACGGTGGATACGATATGTGATTGCAGCATTGGCTCCTGTGTCTGCATCACTGGCAGAGACTTGCTCTACCACACCCCCTGCACAAACAAGAAATCATATCATTAAATTTCAGTTGTACAATGAGACAAATCCCAGTACGTACTGTACTGAATATGTGAGTGACTTGTATAGTAGTACAGTATTAACTTAAGAGCATTTATACAGTAATCAACAGGCTTGTACACTTAAAAAATTCTGCATCAAAATGCTTCTTTCAATGAATAAACAAAATGGTAACCATGAATACCTAGCAGTTGCAATACACATATGCATATCTTTGATTTTTATTTATAAATGTCGAGACATTAATGGATTGTTGAAAGCCGACTCATTTGTATACACAAAATGTGATTATCATTAATGCCATAAATAACTAAAACCTTTGTATGAGCAGCTAAATCAAGTTCCATAAAATATTTAAACCTTGATACAAACTATCAACCGACGTTTTTCACATAAATATATTTCATCTGATGGAAAATACAGAAACTAGTGATTCCCTAATAAATGCAAATCCCTAACTCTTCAGCACACAGAGATACCAACAACACATACCTTCAGGAGCATTCTCTTGGACAGCTGCCAGGTAAGGGTTCTTGCTGAAGACTGGGACGTTGTTGTTAGCATCACGTACTAACACTTTTATGTTGGCTGTGTGGGACCCCTCACCATCATTGGCCTGGAGGACCATAATAAATCAACTAGTAAGACTAAATCACAACAAAGTAATAAGTCTTTACTGAATCACTTACACTAGTTATTAAAGGAATGTTTTACAATTGTCAAGTTGAAGTATATAGTGTAAATGATTTAATGGGCCATTTGTGTCACTTTTCCAATGTTGCCTGTATTACCCCGGGACTCACCTCTACTGTGAGAATAATGTAGCCAGTCTTAAGATTGGATATATCTAATCCAGATTCATTGGATACACGTATCCTGCCTGAGTCAGGGTTTATGGTGAAGAGTCCAGTAGGGTCTCCTCCCACCAGGCTGTAAACAACTTGTGAAGTGGCATCTGGGTCCTCAGCCTGAGAATGGCAACATTTAAAGCTACAGTATTATATAAAAATAGATCTAAGCACGCACGCACGCACGCACGCACGCACGCACGCACACACGCGCACACACACACACACACACACACACATATATATATATAGAAGTAAAAATCAGCTGCAAATTTCAAAATTTGCCATGACCTGATTAAATATTTCCTGAACTCCTATGTTAAATTTCTGCAGTCTGGTGTGCTACATGCACAACTGTACAGTATAGTATTATGCTGGGGTCCACACTTGAGATAAGTACAGTACTTTATGTGTTAGTCTCATTAGACGTTTATAAAGTACAGTAAATGTATGCACATTCTGTATAAATACTGTATTTAATCAACAAATTCAAATCAAATGATACTATACATTCACACTGCCAAATATGGACATTGTGTGGAAGATGTTTACTTTTTGGTGTGTGGGTGTATAGAACTGTGTGATTGTCTATCTGGCACTGCTATATGGGAGTTTAAACTTAGTTTCTCTCCAATATAAATCACCTCCTAGCCTTATGGTTAAGCTCAAAATACAGTAATTGTGTAAAATAAACAAGTGTTTTGATGTAATGTTCCTTACAGTCACTGTCTTCATCATTGATTACCTGTATTTATCCTCAAAGATACTGAAGAGTTTTAACAAAACAATTTGAGAGCTACAACATACAGTGGTTAAGAAGAATATGCAGAAAAATTAAGACATAAAAATGAAGATAGTTTATTAGCCTTCCTCTATGACAATTAAACCCTTGGACCAGCATCACCCTTATTGAAACACCAAAGCCATTAACTGAATTTCCCAGGTAATTTTCATCATCTTTCTTCAAGTGATACTTTTGACTTCAAGGGTATGGATACAACTTACTGTGACATATAATGGAGGATCAAAGTCTGCTGCACCCTCATCAATCACAGCACGATACTGCTGCCGAGTGAACTTGGGTGGGTTGTCATTGCTGTCAGCCAGTATTATCCGCACTGGTACAACTGTTGTGTGACCTGTGCCCCCTGCATCTATGGCCTGTGGGCAGTGACAGTATTAGGTCACATTTATAAATGTTTATAAAGAGTGACTGATAAATTTATCCGTCACTCTTTAAAAACATATAGGTGATAATTCAATCAATTTGGTTATGAAAATAATCTTATGTGCAAGACTAGAGCAAACATTTATTAATTTGGAAAACTAAAGTGACCTTATTTCATCCTAGAAATAAAAAGGGCACTAAGGTATGGAAGATATTACTTTTCAAGAAATGCCTTGGTTCTGTAATGCCTTGAGGCTGCCACCATAATGATAATTAATTCTAAAAATTAATCAGACAACTCATCTCTTCATGCTATTTGTTACCAATGGCCTTCATACTTGAAATTTCAGAAAAATCCATTGACTAGTTTTAGAGATACTGTACGACCCTTTGTTCATATTACTATTACCGTATTAATATTAATACTCCTTCTACAAGCACAACTGTTACTATTAATAGTATTGCCAGGAAAAGCAATCACCGTTGCTAGTCAGACTGTCTGAAAAACTGAAAACTAAATTTGCAGGAGGAGATGGACATACACGTACTAGCCAAGAAGAACTAAGAATGTGGAGGGACACAAGAGGTACTCAAGTGGAAGAACAAATAGTAGATGAGAGGAAGAGAAGGGCAAAAAATGTTGCTGCAGAGGGGGGAATTTCTCTGAAAAAAGAACATAGATGAAGGGTATATACAGTACATACTACTGTAGTGTAAAAAAATAATGTAAATGGGGAGGAGAGAGAGAAACTTGCCTGGAAAGAGAGAAAGTAGGTGGGTCGTTCCTCAAAGTCGAGGCAGTTGCGGTGACCGGGGGTGTCACAGAAGGCCACTGTGATCACTCCAGAGGTGGCATCTACTTCAAATCTGTTATTGAATAAAGACATGAGTGAGCAGCAACAAAGATGAGAAAAATTTACAGTGCACTTCCTTATTAAAGATTGGAGAGTTTTTTGGTTGTTTCACCAGCTAGCTCATAAAATTTATTCTGATGCTTTACTTGGTCTTAACCCCTTGCATATTGGTTCCCCTCTGAGCTGAATAAACTTATCTGGCATTAGCCAAATAAAATATCAAAAGTGGCGTCCCTGTAGTGAAGGGGGTTAGGGTTAGTTTTGTATTGTGCAAATGTGTAAATATGGATGCAAGTACAAATAATCAAATACGTGTTTCTGAAAATGCATGTGTGATTGTCTGGCATTGTTTACAAAATACAAGTACTGTGTATGCCTTAAACACCACTTACTTCTCTGCACCATTGCCAAAGAGGGAATACTGTATGCCATCAGCGCCAAATTGCCCAGTGTCCCTGTCTGAGGCAACGATGGTGGCAACAACAGTGCCTGGGTTGGCCGTTTCTGAGACCACTGAAGTGTAAGCCTCTTGCTCAAACTTTGGCGAGTTATCGTTAGTGTCAGTGACAGAGACGACAACTGTTGCCGTGGATGACAGCCGGGGGTTCGTTAGGGTCTCTTCTGCAATAACCTGAAGCAGAGGTTAATCAGCTGAATGAATGGAAAGCTAAGTAAGTGATTAAGGGATGGGTATTTGGAGGTCTAACTGATGGACAGATTTGTAAATGAATGAACAGCAAGGAAACTGGGTGTGTTGATGGTACATGGGGTTGACTATTGGGTGGATTAGTGTGAGCAACTAAGTGAGCTAATGAATATATGATAGGAGGTAATTTGGGGTAATTAGATCAATAGTACTATTGATGAATAAATGGATGGATGCATATATCAATGGAAAGATACATGGTTGAATGGCTGGATACTATAAAGTACAGTAAATACAAACAGGGACTACAGTACAATGAATGGAGGACTAACTATATATATATGGATGAAACAATGTATCCATACATTCACTAATTTTTTTTAAACTATAGCTTAAAATATCTCAGTTTAATCAATATCAAGAAGGACATGGATGGATGTAATGTAGGCAAATTTTATGAACTACAGTACAGTATTAATATCTTTTCTGTTGTCATTAATTCAAACATGACATATATTAAGACCATTTCCAAACAGAACATAAGTATATCCACTGCTTATGTAAGACATTAACACACCTGTAGCAGAAACTTGCGCTGGTTGGGATTCTCAAAGTCAAGGGGTCCACGAGCCACCCTGATACTGACGGAGGAGGAGCCTGAGGCCACCTGTGGCTCCACGCTGAAGATTCCAGATGAGTCCACCAGTCTTAAGCTGAACACAGAGTTGGAGCCCTGGAGGGAGACATTACACCATCACAGCAACTGGTGACTAGATTACAGTATATACTCAAATGAGGTGCCTTTTATAACAATGACACCTTGAGCTTTGATCTTTGATTCTTAAGAAATGTCTGGGCTACAGAGGTTGTCATTTTGAATACAGTGACCCCTCCGTTAACGAACTCAATCCGTTCCAGAAGGTCGTTCGTTAACCGAAAAGTTCATTAACCGAAACCATTGTTTCAATGGGTTTTTGGGTAATTGGTTCCAGCTCACCAAAAATTTCCTAAATTCAACAAAAATGGTAGAAAAGTTCACTTACTTTGAGGTGTGTATGTAGAAGGCTCCTGGATGATGATGATGATGATGGGATTTAGAATGGGGGTGGAGGAGACGGAAGAAGATAAGGCATTGGGGTGGAAGAGAAGTCACCCCATGGTGCCATTTCACCCATAAAATTTTAGCTCTCTTGGTGTAATTCAGGATTATTTTCTTTAAATCAACACTGCACTGCATTTTATATTGTCAATATGTAAAATATATTTCAAAATGACCAATAATTTGCTTGGAAACACAGAAAAAAAGCGTTTAGTTGAAGAGAGTCTCAAGCAAGATGTTACCTCCAGTGAAAACAGAGAGAGACTAACTCCTGTTTGCTGTGTTAAGAGGCTGGATGCCGTGCATTAAACTAGTCACTTTACCTTCAATTATGTTCAATAATTGTTAAAATGACTAAAAAATTGAATATTAAACTTTTAAAATTATTGAATAGTATAAACTTCTTGATATTTACCAAAATAGTAAGGAATTTAAGCCCTAGAACCGATTAATGTATTGGCGGACTGATACTAAAGCTGGTTGCCCGGTCAGTGCAAGCGAAAACATGTTGAGGTTGGTTCGTAAGAACTTCGTTAACTGAATTTTTTTTCGTTAACCGAATTGAAGATCCTTATGGAAGGCAGTTCGTTAATCGAAATTACGTTAACCGAGGTGTTCGTTAAACGAGGGGTCACTGTACTGTATATCTGTACTGTAGAGTATGAGTATGTACGATGCATGAACACCGTCACTCCTGCCATTCCTGAGTTATGCAGCCAAATTACAAAGACAGATAAAAATTACCCAGTAGGCAACATTAATCATGATCTGAACATAAGACTCAGAATAAACTAATTTTCAATCTTTACTCAACTCGTCACAAGTAAAGAATATTGTACAGAACTGAGATTGAAACAACATATTATAGAAGACAAATCATTAATAAAAAATAAAAAAATTAAAATTTGCAAATTATGAACAAAATGAAGAGTCATAAATTTATATGAACCTAGACATAGAAGTGAAAAATCCTCTAATGAAGAATTTTGCCTTTAAAAAATTTCCTCAATAACGAGGTAGAGACAATCCGATCAGACATGAACCTACAGAATTCACCACAGTGACTGGTCAAAGAGGCTTCAATCCTAATGGGCACCTGACTGACCAGCCCCTAATGGTCCCTAATCCTAAGTTAATCCTAGATTAAGTTGGAGAATATTAGGACAGAAACCCATTTGACCTTCAACACTTACTACATCTGTGTCCTGAACAAACATATCAAGGTTTGGTAGTGGAGTCCCATCTGGTACATTCTCTGGCACAGAAGCACGATACTCTCGCCTGTTGAAGGACGGAGGCTCATCGTTCACATCCCGAATGGTTATTGTTACATCCACCACTGTATCTGTGTCTCCTGTACTCACAGGATTCCCACCGATAGTTTCATAGGCCTGGCAGAGAAGTATTACATTTGAAACAAAAGAGCATTGTTGGGTGAAGACATATACCGTACACCTCATATAACATAAAAGTTATGTAGAGATTTATGTTAAAGATAGTAAGATACACTCATAATAGGCAACAGTCATGTATAGGCCTACATGTGGAGACGTACAGTTATAGCATCACAAAATGACACGGTAATTCAGCCTGGGTGTTGTACAGGACCAGATCAAACACAGCAGTAAAGTCTAGGGAAGTGAAGAAGACTTACTGGTTATTGGAAAATATAAAAACAGATCATTTTAGAAGAGCAAGTGAAACTGACCTGTGAGCTTATGGTACATCATTTTAATTAAGGAATTTCATTAGTTTCATGAACAATACAGTACACACTTAAAAGGATCATGACTGGCAGGAAGAGTCACAGATGGGAAGCAAAGCAGATATAATGGATATGATCAAGAATGAATATAAAGTGGTTCAAATTAAGTACTACAGTAATTTTTTAACAAAGATCTAAAGCATTAAGTAATTTTTATTACTTCTATAATCCTGCAGACCATAAAACTGCATTTTTTATCCAACTTGACATAATTTGGTTCACCTTAGTTTTGAATTCAATTGAACTCACCTTAACCTTGACTTTAACCACACCATCTGGGGATTGAAGGGCCTCCCGGTCTAGTGGTTTGGCAGTGCGTAGTTCCCCAGATTTGACATCTAAGGTAAAGAAATCCAGTGGATCTGAAAACCAAAAACAATATTAATGTAAAGGCTCCAAATATATGAACAACAGCGACATGATCTAAAAACAAACATACCGTAAACTTCACAAATGATGCCCACAACTAACATAACAACCACACACTGTACACAAGCACAAGCTTTACAGTCTGTGATGCATGAATGCCTATGAAACATCATTTACCTTATTTACCTAATGGCCACCCAAATTAAAGATGGCCATGTCAAGGGAAGATGGCCAGTGGACTGTGTAGGATCCTGCAGTTGTTTTTTTTATATTTTTGTTTCGGTCTACTTTTGAAGTCCAGCATGGTTCTCAATTTCAGAATAAGAATGACTACTGTATGTTTAATACTGTACTGCACTTATTTTGTTTTTAATTTTAGAGTACTGTACCTGTATCATGTTGTGAAATAAAAAAATTGTGAGTTGCCATTTCAAAACATTGTTGGTAACATAAAACAGAACATGCAGACTGTGTCACTGTTGCCAAATAGTTACTGACAATAAAATACTCACTACTAATGAGTTCATATCTGATGGGTCTTGGGGCACCAGTGTCCCCATCTGCTGCCTGGAGGGTCATGACCAAGCTGCCAATTGGGTCATCCTCAGTCACAATGCCGGTGAGGGAACCAGAAAAGAGAGGTGGAGAATTCTGCACATCTCTCACTCGCACCACCACGCCCACGCTTGACATCTGTCCACCATCCTGTACGTAGTTACAGAATTGACATTTTAAGATAATGAGTACATAAAAAAAAGGTTTTATGTATGTACTTCATTACATGAAAGCATATGCCAACCTGCAGTCTAAGACAGTTGTATGTTATTTTTTTTATGAAATGTCAAGAACTAAATTATCTTAATCAAGATTCATAATATCCCTAGCTCTGAGAGTGTGCATTCCAGTGTTTTAGGAGAGTTGCATAACAACTTTACGACCTCGTTCTTCAGATGCATGAATAAACAAAAGATCTTTAATGACTGTAAATTAGTAAATTGATTCATAAATTGTATTCGAAAAGGACAATAATCACTGCACAAATAATTACAGGCCAGTGAGCTTACCCTGCATAGTAAAGTAATAAAGATCATTATACAATGTTGGAACCCAGGATGGACCTTCTCCATGGGCGTCTGCAGGATTTTATTCCGGGAGGGGTGCAAGAAATCAAGACAAGACCTGACATATCAGTTTACTGTATTCAAAAGTATGATCAAGTACAGTCGAGTTACCATACTTTTGAGAACTGTAACAATGCATAACAGAGACGTGACCACTGCCCAAATGGCTAACAAGCCGATCAGTGGTGAAGAGGATAAAAGTAAAGTAAAACCGATCAGCAATATCACTTATCAGTTTTATCACCAAATTATTAATCACTAAAATTGGTAATTATTGACGAATGACCCTCTGCCGCTTTTTCATATAATATTTATTTTTAAAATGCTAATTTCACTGTGTTTTATAGTGAAACTGTTGTAGTTTTGGCAAATGTGTTAAAATGTGGTTATTTGTAAATTAAACTTAACTCTTTTATTTGATAAGAAAATAGTGGCAAAAGCATTGTTAAAAGACCTCACCAACCTAACCAAAGAAACCTTACTTAACCTCCTAGCTGTGGGGCTCCACCTCAGACCTCCTGCCATATTTAACAACAAGAACATACTGTACTATGATATGGGAGTATTTCACGTTTTTTTTTTTGTGGGCGTTTGAGCAGCCACCCAGCCCGAGCAACTCATAAACGTACACTGAGCCACCTGAGCATAGCCAGAGATATATGATAGGGGCCTGTAGTGGAATTCTCCCCTACAGCGCTGTTTGTGGCTGCCTTTAACCCCACCACCTCAGTGATGCCTCGTGGTCTAGGGTCAACCAGCGCCGCGACACCACGGAGCGGGGTCAACTGCTAAGCCGCCTACCCCGCTATTTAAGACCTGACCTCGTGGTGATCTGTCTCTTTCTACCTACACCAACCAGCCAGCAACACCTCCGCCTGCCTGGCGGCCTCGCCTCTCCGCCTGCCTGGCGGGTGCTCTCCCGCTGGCAGCATGGCAACACGCTGTCCTTCTCTAGCGCCCTTAACCGCGCTCTCTCTACATCACGCCTTAACCATGCTGCCTTCCCAGCACCAAGCTGCATTGTACATCCAATACAACATGTATATAGAGAGCACATTGTGAGTTTCCTTTCTCCATCCCATCCTGAGTGTGAACCAAACATCTCATACCCAACAGGCCCATTTACGATTTACCACTGTGCAAGATGAAGTAGTGCCACTAATGCAATCCTAGGTGCTTAATTATCTACCAAACGAATCATTTCCAAAGAAATGACTATCATACCAGAACTCACTGATGAAATTGTATAAGAAAGTAAACATAAAAAACAAATAATCGTCGGGTGGTTAGTCGTTAATATTAGTCCTAAAATTATCACAGGGTTGACACTAAGCATTAAAACCTAACAGTAAGTTATGTTTATTGTCTAGCTAATAAAATGTGCAGGTGCATCATAACAGTGTTTTTTTTGTTTTGCCTAAAAATGGATATAATGGAATAGAAACACATTGTAGTGGATTTCTCCCACAACGCTGTTTGTCGCTGAGTAGTCAATCGCGAATTCTAGTGGCGCTCTCGTGGTCAGGTCAACCAGCCGCTTTCATGACTGAGGTCAACTATTACCACCACCCCGCTATAAAAGACCTGACCTCGTGGTGACCGCTCTCTTTTCTACTTACACCAACCAGCTCTCTTCTTCTAGCTACAGCCGCTGCCTGGCGGCCCTCGCTCCTGCCGGCGAGCATGGCGACCCACAAGCTGTCCTCCTCTGAGCACCCTCATCAACCAGCTCTCTCTACTCAACGCTTGTAACCATGCTGCCTTCCCAGCACCAAGCTGCATTGTACATCCAATACAACATGTATACAGAGAGCACATTGTGAGTTTCCCATCCTGAGTGTGAACCCAAACATAACGTACCCTACAACATCACTTGTGAAATAGGAGTGGAACTTAGCCTAATCTCAGCTAATCTAATCTATCCTAACGTAATCAAATCTTACTTAATTCTTAATTTATTGGAATCAAACCTAACTTATCCTAATCTAACCTAACCTGACCTAATCTAATCTACCTAACCAAACCTTATCTAACCTAACCTTACCTACCTAATCTAACCTAACCAAACCAATATACAGTACTTGTGCTCCTAATATTCCAAAAACTCCATTTATGCTTATCATTTTTTGCTGATCATTTGCCACGTAAAATTTATATTTCCAAATTTGTCTTAAGTTACATAATGTGCACTTTTCGTTATTAAAATTTCCATAGATAAGGTTAATTACATTACAAAAAAAACAATATATATATATATATATATATATATATATATATATATATATATATATATATATATATATATATATATATATATATTTAACAATAATAATGTATTATTATTATTATAATTATTGCCACTAACCGAATCTCGCGAATTTCATCTTTGCATCAATAGTTCAGATAATTATAAGACACTTTTCTTCTATGACGTTTCCCTCGCAAATATCGTATATTATTGTTATTGTTTTCATTATTGTTATCCATTTAATTAAAATAATACTCGGTTGGTCTCTTTAATACTACGGTAAAATCTTTAATCTCATTCAAAGTCATTTAAGTCTCGCATTTAAATTCATTCATGATACTTTATTTACATCCATTTTCTTTGAAGCAATTAAAGAAAACGAAACTTTTACATGGGAAACTGCTTTACTTTTTTATTATGATTGCACAATTATTTTATTTTAGAGTAGTTTATTTTATTGTATCCTCTTCGTCACTGATCTGCCTGGTAGTCTCTTGGGAAGTCGATCACGTCTCTGTTAGTCTCTGTTAGGCACTGTTAGCACTGTATAATGGAAGAGCCTTGTGACGAAATTCCTGCACAGATTTATGCACGGATACTTATATTTGATACATCTGCTGGAGTTACTGGATATTTGGTAACAGCTCCTAGAACATGGCAGTATAGTAATATTGACAACTGTGTACACTATACAGGTCCCTTGACTCTGCCAAGAAATTTGAGATAGGCTGAAAATTAAACCCCTTCCCTTGAAATAAAGAAGCAGTAAATACAGATGAAAAATTTGATTAAATTAAAGATTTATATGCATAAATTACAAGAGCCTATGAGACTCACTGTGGCAACAAGTTTAAACTGGTAGAGGCTGCGGGTGGTGTACTGCAGTGGTTGGCTGAGGATGAGGTTGCCGGAGAACTTGCGGGCAGAAGACTGACTTGTTACGATGGCAAACGCCTCACATGCATCATCACCCTACATGTGGGGCAGGAGGAGGAGCTCATTAAAGGAGTAAATGGTGTTATTAATACGTCTTAGGATAATGGCTTTGTATTTCATAGGATAAATCTGTTTACAGTAGTATGCCATAGTAAGTAGCTGTAGTACAAGAACAAATGTTAAAGTTTCAAGGTTTTCATTACTGTAACCAGCAACATATTCTTACTTCAAGCAACAGGAGTTAGAGTGAGTGGGTGATGGTTAGTGAACGGAGTGTGTGGTCACTCTTGATTCCGACCACCCCACAACCCCCCCTGTGCAGCACTGAGAGAGAAAAAATCCTAACTGCTAACTGGAACAGATAACTTGAACTGCATCATAATTCTTTTACGTTTACCTATATCTCCTGCTTTCACTTACCGGAGTAATTGGTTCACATTGCACCTTAATCGTGTCTCCAACCTGGTCTTCATCAGTGAGTCTAATACCTGGCAAGACGGTGCTTCCCACGGCAGCATCTTCCCCAACCATGGCCTCATATGGTGTCTGTCAAAGTGAAAGGAAAAGTTTGTCCAAAGGATAAAAAAAATCAATCAGAGGTCCTCAATAGTTATCAAGGATGAGCTACGATGTTAAATCTTTCTAGGCCCTAATCTTTGAGGTTAAGTTCAATTTGGTTGAGTTATATTTGAACTGGGACCCATTTGGGCTGCAGCTGAAGACAAACTCACCTGCAGGAACTTTGGAGCATTGTCATTAGTGTCAAGGACAATGAGAGAGATGGGGATCCTCATTATGTTGTTGTCTGCCCCTCCGTCCACCTCATCCTCCACAGTCACTACCAGACGCAGGGTGTCATTTCGCTGTAAAATATCAGACCATCACTAATTTACCGATACTGTAGTCACCAGATATCACCAAAACTGCCTTTGGTTTGCTCGGTTAAGTTAGGTTATATTAGGATACTTCTCCAGCAAGTAAGGTACGTCTTGCATTTCACACCCCACTCCCTTACCTCTCTGTCTAAGGGCCTGTTAATGGTGACAACACCGGTACTGGGGTCCACCTTGAGTCTGTCGGACCCTGTCAAGCCGTACTTGACGGGGCCGCCCTCAGGGTCAGAGGCCTTCAGCGTGTAGACAGCCGCACCGACGGGGGTGTCCTCGCTCACCACGTGTAGGTTCATGTCTGCCGTGAAGGAGGGAGGCAGGTTTGCTGCTACACCTGTAGATGCAACACTCTCGTTAACACAGTAATACCATCAGTGGAACTTGATTCACAGGATTAACATTAATATAACACCAGCTTTAACACACTGCACCACCACCCTCTTGGCTGACAAGACTAATAAACAGTAACATTAAATGTTATCAAAATACACATCAAGGACACCTTAGATGCACTGTACAGTATTTTGCTTCTCCAGTTTTGGGGAAAATAAACATAATATTTGAGAGTCTGGCTCCAGACCCCGAAGCCTTGAATACAACATTAGTTTTAAGACAATACGCCGTCAACTTTCGTGAGTGGGTGGTGGCGAGGTTAACCTGGAAAGTAACAAGTTTTATGGACAATTATGTGAAAGTGGCGTGAAGGTCACATCTATACCAAAAACACAACACTTACGGCAACAAGAGTCTTGATCTCTCTCTTCCTTAGTAACATGACAGGATCAGATCACGCGTAATGTAAGAAATAAGCGACCATGAACATAATACCACAGCAGGACTATGTGCCAGCTGAGACTTTACGATTAAGCTGGGAAAAACCACAAGAAAAACAACACGACTCCAGCTCACAGCGTGCAAGAGAAAATGAGGAGTAGTGGTGTTAACAAGACTACAAGGCGCCAGATAACGCCACGTGATGCCTCCTTCATGGTAACTCAGACATACAGATGGACTGACGGAACCTACGTTTACTGTCACATTGAACTCAACCCAACTTAATCAAATTTAAACCTAATATATCCTAACTTAACCACGTCAAAACTATCCTAAATTAACTTAACCTAGCCGGGTGTTTAATCATCAGGCGAAATACTCTGAGTCGGCTATAGTCTTCATGTGATCCCAAGAGAACGGTTCACTGACACTGACAATATTTTACGTTCTCAGAATCTCAGTCACTTCCGATGAGCGAACTCTTACCTTCGGGCTCCTCTTTAACACCAATGAATCACCAAGGTATACAGGGGTATATATATACTTTATATAAATGACAAAAAAAATCATTTAGTAACTCTCTCACTCTCTCTCTAGGAAAATTAAGTACATTTAGTTCCTCTCCTCGACAGTTCAAATGGATATGTCATCTTTTCACTCCGAAAGTACTAATTCGAGAGAGAGAGAGAGAGAGAGAGAGAGAGAGAGAGAAGGAACTCACAGCACTCGCCGCCACTGGGTGTATCAAAACAGTTACCCAGCCAGCCCTTCCATGACGCCCCACCCCGGCTTAGTGCTATGACCGGAGCCTCTACCTTCCATACACTGACCTCTCTCCAGTCACAACACTGACCTACATCAACGTTAAGACACCCCAGGATTGGACTGGTTAGGCTAAGTTAATTGTATAGTCGACGAGGTTAAGTGAGATTTGAAAGCACAGGTTATAGGCTAAGATGGTTGGGTAGGTTAGGTTAGCGTTAATCTATGACCTAAATTTTGCTGGTCAATCGGATAGACTTTGGTGGTAACGTGAGGTGTGAGAGAGTACCTGGTGACCGCTGGGAAGGGAGGGGACCCAACATCTCAGCAACCACCATCAACCCCCACACACACACGGGGAAGTGAATTGAGGTAGGAATTTGTAAGTGTCTTAGGACTGGTGGAAGGTCTCTAACGGTGGGACAGGTTTAGCTTTAGATGTGACCCGCTGTGTTCTGTTACTTCCACTCCCTCTGTGTGTGTGCGTATGTGTACTTATGTAATAATTAATAATAATAATAATAATTAACGGTTTATTGAAAGAGCTTGGCAGCCAGAAGGCTGAAAATATACAGTTACAAATTTGGGGAATGGGTTTCGATTTACAAATAATACACAAATAACATAAGTGATACAAATAAGATATATAACAACTAGATGGGGAAAAGCTCAAACTACAAGGCATTTCAACATAGTGACAGTGCAAGAAGTAGTATTTACTGGGAATGAATATACTGGTTTATTACAAGTTATTGATAATTTTTACAATGGTTGGGACTGGGCTGTTCTTATAGCGATCAGTTCGTGCACGTATGGGCTGGATGCGGTTGTGGTGTCGAACAGCAATTCTCGGGCTAGGAATCTCAGGTGGTAGTAGGAGCCGGTGTCGAGGATGGTGAAGAAGCTTCTTACCAAATTTGCAGATGAGGTCGTGGTGATGGTCAGTGAGAGTCGAAATGGTCAGTGTGTTGAGCGCTTCTTGATATGTGGAGTAGGAAGGGGAGAGAATAATCTTGCATGCCCTCTTTTGCACTTTTTCTAGGTGTTTACGTTGTGTGGCATTTAGGGAGGAAGACCAGGTGGGGGAGGCATAGGTGAGCTTGGGGAGTATGAATGTTGAAGGAACTCCTGAGGGACTTGAGTCGGCGGAGGAGGTGGAGACGGAAACTGGAGGATTTGACAATCCGAGGGACTTGAGTCGGCGGAGGAGGTGGAGACGGAAATTGGAGGATTTGACAACTTCACTGACGTGTGGTTTCCAATTTAGTTTGTTGTCTATGGTGACGCCGAGGAGCTTCGTGGAATCTACAACCAGGAGTGTGTTCGGACCTACAGGTAAAGTAATGGAAGGAGGTGGGACAATGTCGGAGGAGAGGTTGATGTGTGCATAACCATGGTCTTGGTATGGTTGATGGTGACGTGGTTGTTGGTGGCCTAGTTTTGAAGACTGTTCAATAAATCCTGAAGGGCGATATAGTCGGGAGCAGAATTGTTGACGCTGATCCCAATAGTGGAGTCGTCGACATATTTCCAGCGAGCGGGGGTTTCTCTTAGGGCATCACTGATAAGCATAAGGAAGCAGAGTGGTCCCATTCTGGTGTGTATGTATGTATGTATGTATGTACAGACTCTTATAAACAGAACAAGAGACATTTATAAAGACAACGACAGGCACTTATATACATGACACATTTAATAGCAAAACGACAGACACTTTCCATGTTACACCAGACATTGTGAGTGGTCAGGTGGACAGAGACAGAAACACCGTTTACTAAATAACAGAACATAACAGTAACCGTTAACATGAGGCGAGAGATAAGCACGAACAATAACGGGGTAAAACAGCAAAGTAGGACCCATTATTGCAGCAAGAGTAGCATAATAGTCGCTTTAGCCGGGAAACACCAAAGCAGTGGGCATGTCCAGGCAGGGGAACTACCGCTGCTATTGTTGCCTTGTCTCTCCGTGATTCAGTGGTTCGAGGGTTTGAGGGTACGAGGGCTCGTTGGTATGAGGGTTTGGTGGTTCGAGGGTTTGGTGATTCGAGGGTTTGGTGGTTTGAAGGTTTGTTGGTTCAGGGGTTTTTTGGTTTGAGGGTTTGGCAGTATGACGGTTTGAGGGTTCGAAGGATTGGTGGTTCGAGGATTTTGAGGGTTCATTGATTGAGGGTTTGGTGATTCGAGGATTTTGAGGGTTCGTTGATATGAGGGTTTGAGGAAGGGGAAGATTGAAAGAGAGGAGCGGGGAGGGTTGGAAGAATATGATTCGGACGACGATGATGAAGAATATGATTCGGACGACGACGAGAAGAATAGGATTCGGACGATGAAAAATAGGATTCGGACGACGACGAAGATGAAGAATATGATTCGGACGGAAGCTGAAATTATCTACAAAGCTGCACGTGTATCGAGCAATGGTCCTCCTCACCCTGCTATATGGCAGTGAGACATGGGTCACATACAGGAGGCACCTCAAGGCACTTGAAAACTTTCACCAATGTAGTTTACGTTCCATCCTCTGTGTTCGCTGGGAAGACAAGAGAACAAATGCCAGTATTCTTGCTGACACCAACTGTAGAAGCATCGAGGCTACCATTATCCCGGAACAGCTATGCTGGACTGACCATGTTACCCGCATGGACGACAGTAGAAAGCCCAAGAAGCCACTTTACAGTCACTTAACGAATAGTAAACGTAATGCCGGCGGGCAGTTAAAATGGTATAAGGATAGTCTTAAGACAAACCTGAAAAAGTGCTAAATCGACTCCCTCACCTAGGAGTCGATTACTCCACACCGTAACGCTTGGAGGAGCACCACACGAGAAGGTGTCAATACTTTCGAGTTAGCCCGACTGCAAACCGAGGCAGACAAGCGCCAACACCGGGAAGACGCTGCCGCTGCCACCGCCTCTCCCGCACTAGATGCAGTCCTCCACATATGCAACGAATGTGAACGACTCTGCCGGTCCCGTATCGGCCTTTTTAGTCACCTCAAAACTCACCAACCTAGGTGACATCCCTAATAACTCATATCATTGTTTCATAGCTGGATGATCGTCATACTCCATTCCGAGTGACAACAAAGTAGTAGTAGTAGTAGTGTGTGTGTGTGTGTGTGTGTGTCTAGATGTATCTATCTATCTACCTATCTATCTATCTAACTTAGTCTAATAGGAAGAACAAAAGGTACAGTAAGAACAGCACGAAGAACAATCAAGGAGCATGCAACAGTGAGAACAACGACGCAAGAACAAACACACACACCTGTACATAACAATAACAGTATTACAGAAGGAAGAACAAGTGGACGAAATGCTCCTCAGCGTTCCGATAATGTCCAAGGATCTGTATATGTGTCAGTAATAAGATAGCAATAAACGTTGATCACTGAGCCTATGGTGGATGGATGAATGAATCGGAGGGTGGAGGAACGAAACGGAGGAAAGAGGAACGGAACGGCGGAAGACAATAAGAGCGGAAACACCAAAACGGTGGAATGAACGGTACACTGAGGAGTGGTTGGCTGGTCAGTGTGTGTGTGGTGATCAGCCAAGCGAGAGACAACGAGGTTCTTCACACTGATACGCTACACTTACCCTCGGTCATGAGGCAGGTGTGAACCTTGGATGTGAGGATGAACTTCATGCTTTCTTGGCAAATCATGAGGTAGGGGGGTCGTTCATGTCTGTCATTCATAAGGTACAATGGGGTTCATATATTTCTCCTCCAGCCAATCAAGAGGCAGAATGATATGAACGCTTCTTCCTCGGCTAATCATGAGAAGAACAAGGTT